AGCATGTACTTTATCCACCTTCAAAAGGTTCATGAATTTAATCTAAAATAACATAGTTTTGTGGATTATAGTTTGATTCACAATTATTTGTGATTCTAATAAATACAAAAGTCTATGTTGCTCGTGCCCTGTCCAGAAAGAAATCTCTCAACTATAATGCTAATTACCTCTAACTCATGCCTATTGTACCATAATTTTGTGATCTTGGGGCTAATGTGGGGCATGAGGAGGTCTTTGTTAGCATAGTATCAATAAGTGCATATTGAGTTTCAAGTATTATATTCTTCCCAACACTACGTCCACCTTCACTCCCCTTTAAAACTCCATCACTATAATCCATTAACATTAAGGTTAATATATGAAGTTATAACTATGGTTATTTGTGTTAGCCTGGTCAATTTCATGATAGGTTTTACTATGATTGTCTTTGAGAAATTATACACCTAATATTCATGGTAATTTATTACAGTGACATAGAGTGGCCCAATCTAGATTTTAGTTGACACATGAAGATCCAAATCTTGGAAAGTCTGACCCAACTAGTGCTTGATAGTATTTAAAAATATATAATAGCTTTAATAGTTATGTTATAATTCTCAATAACTTTAATAATTTATTATAATAGTTCTTTTTATAGACTCATTTAGGCCCACTCAAATTTTTGTTTCTTAGACTGTTCATCTAATGTGATTGAAGAATGTTAGGCTAGTTATTTGTTCCTCTAGATATCTACTAAGAAGATCCATGCAAAGACCTTGGTACATTGAGGATTCAAAGACTTCCATAGTCAAGTCAAACTCTTCATGTCCCGTTGACTTTTGATCTTGTGTCACAAGGTTCACATTTTTTATTATTTTTGTGAGTCCTAATAGTAGGTGGCTATCATTAGAAGTGATTATTTAATGGATTTGAGTAGCTTTTAGAGTAATATATCTATATCCAGTACATTAATAATAGTGTCTAGCATTTGCCTCCTAAATCATTCAATCTATTGTTTTGGTAAGTTGAAGGTTTAATAATGAGCATTTTTTTTCTCAATGAGTGATATGACTTCTTTCACCTTTTGAATGTTTGATGCAAACTATCTCAAAATTCATTTAAATGGTAAATTAGGAATATCTTCACAACATCTAGAGATATTATTAACTAACATCACAAGTTTATGTCCTCTCCATGTGAAATAGTCCCATGAGAACTAAAGTTTACTTCCTTTTCATGTGTTATTCTAATGAATGACATAATAAGTTTTTGTATTATCTATTCAGTTGTAAATTTCATGAGAAAATTTTGCCACAAAAGGAATACTTGTAATAAGTATTTTAAACAACTATATCTAACAAACAACATGTCAATTCAAGAAATTCAGCCTTCATATTTAATTAAGTACACACTCTATCCACTTCGATGACTCCCAAGGGGTTGCCATTCATTGTAGTAAAGTTCCTAAGTAAAGCACCAAGTTGGATGACTTCAATTATGGTGGATATTGTTGTGTTATTGCCTTCTAATATTCAAATACTCTAACACAGATTTATGAAGGAAATTGTAGTAAGTTTTATCAATTTAGCAAAATGTTACTTATGCCAAAGTCATTAATATTTGTGGATCAGTACCATGTAGTAGAAGTTAACAATCAACGATATTTAAAATTTATGTCATAGAGGAATAGGTAGGCATCCCAATAATAAAGTTTACAACCAAACTTTTTAACACAATATGACAAAGTAAGACTGGTGGTTTAGTTACAGATAAACCACTTACCATATAATTAGAAATTTTAATTTTATATGAAATTTATGAAAATAAAAGGATTTGGTTTCATGAATAATTTTGAATCATGAAATCTCTTTATAGAATGGCATAAGGAAAAAAATTCTTGCTTTTATAAATTTTTATTTACTCATTATGCTTAAGTAAAGTATATTTTATAAAAAACTGATTCTATTACTATTGTGCATTCTTAAATAGTTACAATTAACATAGTTTTATTTATATCACAAGGCATCATAAAAACTATATTATGACTAATATAAAATTTTAAATTGTATAAAATATAAAATATAAATAGTGAGAGAGCTACATTGGGGAAGGAATGTTTCTAATGAAGATTTCCATCACTACCCATAAATAACATTATACTACATGAAGAGAAAACTTGGGAGCACAACTTCTAAATAAGTGAATGTTTTCTGTTCATATAACCAAGAAAAACATTTATTAGTATTTTACGTTCCATGTAAAAAATCTATTTGTAAAATATCATCCTATCCAATCATCTTATGATTTTTCCTCTTTGAATGGAGAATAGACTTCTTATTTTTTACACATATTTTATTGAGTAAAAATAAAGGAGTAGTTCTCCATTCATGTGTAATATCATTGTTTCAAGAAAATAATGCTTATATACAATGTGTAGAGAGATATTTTATGAATAAATTTTCTTTTTTACGTAATAGTGTGTCCTCAAGATTAGAGGTTTTTTGAGAAAAAAACATATTCATGTAAATGTGAACATTGGCACAAATGTGTGCATGTTACCTAGGAAGCTAAATATTGAACTCAATATTTGGAAAACCATATAATTTTTCAAATGTCTATATCTTGGCTTAAGATTCAAAACCATATAAGTCACTAGCTTGTGGCATATTAAGGGCCTATTTATGTGATCTATATTAAATGTGTGTATAACTCGTTTCTTTTATTTGATGTTTAACTTAAAAGTGAATATCATTCTCATGACATGCTAATCCGAAAACCTAGTTTGATTTCATGTTTTAATTATAAGCCAAGTTAACTCTAAGGTCATATGAAGCATAAAAAACATGAAAATCTGAAAGACCGAAATTGCCAACATAGTCAATAAATTGGCTTGAGATGGGGAGGACCATTTAGAGAATTAGTAAGTCTTGGTTTTTATCTTTGTGATGAAGGTAATCTTAGAAAAATTATGAAGCTTATTACATACATAGGATATGTTTTTCATGATAACATATTATTTAATATTGTACATTATCATATTAATATAGGAACTAAAATTTTAAAGGAAAAATGTTGTAAGTGTAATATGGTAATTTTCAAGTTTGCGGTAAAATAGGAAGTATTGGAGAGTGTGAGTAATGATGTCAAATGTGGATGATGAATTGACTATGTAACAAAAGTATTTATTTTCTTAACATGGAAATATGATTTATTTTGTGCAAATGAACTAATCATTTAAATAATTAAAGGGGGACTTGCACGAAAATTTTGAATTTTAGGTTGCATAAGTTTAGATACATAGCATGGTAGATTATCAGTCATGAACTTTGTTATGATAGATGCTTTTTTGATTATCATTTTCCATGATGAGAATTGAAAAGGGGAAATAGTGAATAGTTAGCATTAAGATGTCACAAAAATGTAATGACCTTAATATAATACATTTTGAGATTTATAGAGTTTTGAATGTTTCTACTATCATAAAAGAGGGAGGCTATTGAACAGAATTTTTCATTTTGATGCAAAGGACTCTAAATATTTATCTAACTAGTTATGTGATTCATGCAAGTTTACTTTTAACCACATGGTTTAGCCAATATTGCAAGCTAAAGAAGACTTAGAATTGAAGCAAACGATATGGATGAGCCTCTTGTATTAGTTCATACCTCTCATATGTATAGATACTTTTTTCTTTATATGAATCATCATTGATTGGACATATTTGTTCACAACATTGAGAAATCATTGTGCATTTGACTTATCCCTTATCAGGCTTACTTCACACCCAATAATTTTAAGTGTGTCCCTTTATTACAAATGGTGCTTTAATTTGATACAAATGTATAGATTTCATCTGATCGAAACCTCGAAATTTTTTGAGAGGCTATTATTTCTTAATTCTAGAATATGGTTCTAACAATAGATTTAAAACATGTCTAATGATGGTATTATATGTACAAACTCTAATTGGCCTTTGTTTTTCTTCAGAAGTTAGAATTCTCTTTTCAAAGTATTTCAAATATTTAGGTTAAAGATAATTGTTTGATTGCATTCCTAGTACTTATTGGTACAAGTATCTTTCTTGTTATGGTGGATGAAGAAAATGAGGTACAAATCATAGATTCTTGGTTTAAGCCTTAGTTAAGAAACTATGAAATTCTCTTTATGTGATGTTTTTGGTGCATTTTACTTTTTAGATATTTGGTTGACCTAATTTGTCTTCTATAAATAAATCTGAAAGCTCTCTATTCAAGTTGAGGTTTCTAACATCAAACTTAAGAATTGACACTAATTATGTGTGTTTTGTGGCTTGTGAGTCCATTAACATCACTAATACTCTTCAAAATGACAAAGAAGCTAGATAGTAATCCTGACCCTCTCAACATGGAGGGGCTAGATTCTAAGTTGCAAACTTCACCATCACTATGACATTCATCTAGAGTCATGTCATGGGACACTTTGTGCATTGATTAGTCCACATTCACTCATGAGCATAGGTTCTTGGGTAGTCCCTCATGGGGCATGGCAGCTACGTGAGATGTGCATGGTGGTTTCACTGGTAATGACACCAGGTGTGCAATAGAAGGGCACATGAATCTTGTGGAATGGCATGTTATGGGTGACCATGGTAGATGTGGGTGCAATTCATGGATTTAAGCGAGCTTCCAGTGTAGAGAGGCTTTTGTGAGAGTCTCAAGTATGTGGGAGAAGTGTATGTGTAATGGGGGCCAAAGGCCTCAGGTGTGGCCAACCAGGATTTTCCTCATCCCCTCTCATATTTTCCTAAGAAGAGGAGCATCGAGGGACAGATAAACAAATTATTATAACTTATTAATAGTATTATGGTAATTTTGTTATTATATAAATTCGTAGGGTTTTATTTGGACAACTGAAACTTTAAAAATAACCGTTGGACTGCGACGAAGAGGCCCCCCCCCCCCCCCCCCCTTCTTCCGTTGAGGTGGAAGAGGCGTGAAGTTTTTCTGGCGGAGAGGTGGGGTGGGGCGATTCACGTCCTCCAGATGGTTGAGCCCAATGGCCGGGAGGAGGCGGCGCCGGCGGCGATCGTCGCTGTAACAGTTGCAGACGCAGAGGAACAGATCTCTCCTCTTCTGCCGGATGTCCAGGGAGGGCGCAAGATGAGCATATTCTCCGTCTCCGACCCTAACACCAGGAGGCGGCTTCCCAAGGTAGTGTTTTACGACTTGGGCTGCGTCCAGTGGTATGTCTCTCCATGGGGTCCCTTACTGTAAAATTTTCTACGACATTCAGGCAATTTGCAATCATTTCCCATGATTTACCTGTGGATCTCTCGCATTTCCCAGATGGAAGTTTTTTTTCCTGTTTCTGTTTCTCTTCTCCATAGTGGGAAATTTTCTTTTTCTGAGAATGGATAGCACCCCATATCCAGTTTAAAATAAAAAGGGAAATGAGAGTATACGCCTAGTGTGCTCTCAAAAGTAATCCATTAAGCAGATCCATAATTTCAGATATTGGATCACTCACATGAATTATCCCAATGTAAATATTTTTAAGAAAATATATCCATACGAAGGTTCTCTTTTATTTTCAGGCGGCCTGAAGTTATCTTGGTGCTTTTGTTGAAAATTTTAAATTAGATCCCTGATTTTTAGAGGTTTTGAGAATTATGATGACTAGAGGGAAGGCTTTCTTTCTTTCTTTCGTCTAAAAGCTTCATTGTTGAACCATCCCAGTGAAACTATTTGTAAGCAAATATCCATATTACTGTTTGGTTTTTATTTTGGGCAATATAAGGGGATCTTGGTACTGTTGTAGAATATTTTTCTAAAATTGGTCCCAGATTAGTCAAGCTGTTGAAATCACTCACATAACTATCAGTTCGAAAAAAAAATTATAACCCCTTTTTTTGGGCTTATGTCACTACAGCCTTTTTTTCTTTTCTCCTTTTGAGAATCCACAATGACCTTGGCGTAATTATAACGCCTCCACATGATGAAAACAGGGTCCAAAAATAAAATTTTCATTACAATAGGTCCCTAATTTTCAAGGTTGTTGAGATCACTCTCATGCTCTCATGATTATTGTCTTGAGGGGAATATGTTTTAGTTGTTTGTATGGAGATATATGTAAGGCTTGTTTTTTGCCCTTGGCCGTGTTATAAAATCTTCACATGATGAAAAAGGTCCAACATGATGGGAACACAATTCTTGTAACAATTCTTGTTACAACTTACATGATTGTTCCTGTAAGTTGAGGAACAGCTTACAGGAACACAAGGTGTACAGCAGATCTAGTTGATATTCTTATAAACCACGTGAGAGTACAGTCTTTTAATTGATAAAAAAGTTGACCATTTAATAGGTTTCCATAACATCGAGATCCAAGGAAGATGGAATGATGGTGTTTCGAAACAGGAGAAACTGAAGAAGACAGTTACAGCACATGAGATGCCAGAGAAGCCCCAATTGGAACAGCTAGTTGAATCTCTCGCATTATAGACCCTTATAACTGAGACGATTACTTGTCACTTCCTAGAAATAGATGCTATTATTTTTCAGTTAAAATTGTCGTTTCACGAATTGAATGATAAAATGCGAGCCTCATAAAAACTACAGATCTAGTGGTGGTTTTCCCTTTGCGGAAAAGTTGTTTAGTCTATTAACTTAATGCTTGCAGGAATCCATCTTAGGAGACAACGAAACGGAGGTCACATTTTTTCTTCAGTTGATTTTTTGGATGTGGAGCGGTTCTAGGTATTCTGGTTTACTATGTATTGCCTCTTCCTCTGCCATCTACTGCATCATGGAAGTCTTTACTGACACCTTTTCAGGTCCAACGCCCACTCTCCTTAAGCTTCTCTAGTTCTAGGTGGATATTTATCATTGAAGTTTTGGATATTTAATCTATATCCTTCATTTCATATTGTACTTATTTTTTTCATATAGTACATTTGGTCATGACCGATTCTTTTATTCTCTTGTTGCCAATCGAACAACTCGCATGTTGGGTTTCATGGACCCAGTCGTCTGCTGGGGTCAGTTTGCTTTGCAGCAGTTAGACTAAGAGGACAATATAGAGCCATTTTTTTGCATTGGATTAATCTTGATGACTGTATCTGTTTAATATCTAACTTAAAACTAATTAACTTTTGGGTAGAGAGAGGACCTTTGGTACTTTCATCTTCACCTAGAAGCTATGGAACTAAAACTAATTACTATCAATAAATATTATCTTCATATATCATATTTAATTTTTTCACAGTGGCTCTTGTTAGAGATAAAATGTTATAGACTTTCATCTCCGTAAGTCAAGAATATATATAACCTTCTCACATAAATGACGCTATTGCAGGTACCAGAAGCACCGTTGGGTGTAGAGTATACAGAAAAATCTCGCTTGTTGTGATCATATTTATATTTAGATAAAATTGGATGACCATGGTATCCTTACCCTAGACAGACGGGTTTGTACGAATCTAATAATCACTTATCTTTCTTTTATATGTTGGAGAAACCAAGCAGTTATAAGGGTAATTTAATCATTCCATCTTCAAGGAAAAGGCAAAAAGTGTTTTCAGTGTGACTAAGGAGAAATCAACCTTTCCCTGGGGAATGCCATCTACATACGACTTTTTAAAACTAGAAAGGAGATATGTAGAAACACATGTAATTTGTCAGATGCTCCTGCAGAACAGTTTTCTGCAACTTTTCAAATGTAATAATATGCCTTTGTCGGTGTATGCATTATTAGTGCTTGTACGCAGTGGAGTTTCTTCATCAAACAGAAAGTGAACGATAGGGTCGAGAATCCTTTCCTATTTATATCTAAATGGGAAAAGTCTCTACTTTAATTATCATGCTGTTTCAGTCCTTTTCCATTATTTTTTTTTCTCATGAGAATATTCGACATGGACCTAAAACGCAATTTAAATTCAGTTTGATTATTTGTATATTTCTATTGAATGTTATGGATGTTGCCTGGAATAAATCTCCCGTTTATTTCTTTCTACCAGGAAGATCTATTCCCTTGCTTGAAGTAGTTTTTGTAAGATGTACAATTCTCTCAATTTTATCACTTTTATGGGTTAAGAGCGCCGGAAAAACGGTATTTGAGACAAGAAAGACAAGAAATCTTCTTCTCTTAAGAGCTCTCACAGGATGCCTTTCACTTATATGTTTCATTTATAGGTAAGTGATGGATCTTGTTAGAATATGGTTGTGATTTATGAAGTAACAAGAAATGTCGACTCCATTGCCATTTTGTTGTACTGATTTTCAGTTATGTTGATTATTTACCTTGGACTCTAATGATTGAGGAACCTCCAATTCTTCAATGACATATATCTAGTTGAGACCTTAGGTTATATCCATGATAGTATTCCCAGCCATTCTGATATTATTTGTTATCTTTATGCAAGCTGCAACCTACTTTGTTACTAGATCAGTGCAAACTGTTTTTTCATTTTGGTATGCAGTGCATTACTTGGATTTTACTACAGGATCCGTGATAACACACTTAATCAAACAATTTCACATTGTAGTTTTTCTTATTATGCACTGGGGAAGCTTTCAATCACAGTAATTCAAGTGAAAGGGTTCTTCAGAGATTAAAAGTATATATCCTTTGACTTTTTGTCTATCTTCTCTTGACTAAAATTCGTGGTGTATCCCGACATTTCATTGAAAAGTAAAATTGATGATACTTACCGTTTTTAACAAGATATTGACCAAAAACTTAAATATCCAAAACTTTTCTCCAGTAAAATCAAATTCCTCCTTTGTTTGCAAGATCCCAAATTCTATGAATCTAGACTCCTGGAAGAAGCCTGAATGAGGACACGAATCATATCTTTGCTAAACTGCATGCATTTCTCTCTGAAGATCAGTAAGAAACTGGAATTAATACTCTTGCATTTAGGCCAATTTTAACTTCGCCTAACTGCTAGATTATTGACCTTTCCTTTCACCATAGCTGATATTATGTCCATGTTTTTCACTTTGAAAGCGGGAAGTAATGCACGTGGTTCGTATATTTCCACAGGCTGATGTGATATCCATACTTTCCTTGAGACAGAAATATCTTGTCACTACAGAAAATCCATTAGAACATTAAGACATATCTGGCCGAAAAGTGCCTGCAAATGGATGGCAGTCCGTCCATTCCTTCGTTTATGATGTGTAAAACGAATGACACATCATGTGCAGATGTTGAATATGCTCTTTGAACAAATAGGGCACATGTATACATCAATGTCCACAATTCTATGGATATAATTTCTGCTTGGTATTTCTCTGACAGATTTTTATTTTCTTCTGTGCTTTGATATTTCTTGTTTAAATGTATGTCCTTTCTCATTTTCATGATTTTGTGGTTAACCAGTTACTCTGTAGACTCTTTACAGCCAAACCTTCATGCCAATGTATTCTTGCATGATCTAATCCAATCTTATTGCCCTTTCCAGTATGCAAAATCTCCCTTTATCCTATGCTGTGGTAGTGAACTTCTCGACTCCTCTTATGGCTTCCATTGCAGCGAGGATAATTTTACAAGAGAAGTTAGGTGTTATTGATATTGGAGGTATGATTTTTGTTATCAACATATGTTGCGTTTACTCAGAAATAAATGCTGTCTAGTTCGAGGGGAATTGAGAGAAAAGTGGAAGTTCAGACTCATTGGCTCATGAGAAAGAGAGCCAAAGTTAGAATTTTAATAAAACACTAAATTAATAAGGCTTTCTCTAATTAGGGTCATTGTACCTATAGCTCTTTTTCATCTTTTGCAAGAGTTCTGCACATCATTTTGACTTGAATGTGTTGACGTGGAGTACAGCATAATATATTTATTTTCATCTCTTTGATCAAGGATTAGAAGAAGAGTGGAGACAGAGGAAAGTGACTTATTCTGGTTTGACTTCCTGTAAAAAAAACGTGTTAGTCATAGCGTTAGTTAATAATGTTCAGATTCTAAAAGATATGAAAAAAATGAAATTTCCAACTATTAGCTCTTATTTGAATCTGGCTTGTAAAAGAGGGGGATCATGAGGGGAGAAGAAAGGTAGACTACAAGAAGATGAATGGGGAGATGATAATTAATTTATTTTACTTTTTTTGAAGATTTTATTTGAGGAAACACTCAGAAAGTTCATTCAATGATCCACTCCATCGATTCCCATTGTAAAATGTAAAATCCTGAGGAAAGCAGAGAGTTTGTTGATAGCCTCTGGTCCTCGAACATTGAGGAGGGAATAGATGGTGCAAATGAGAGTTGCTACAGCACAAGACCTGATTGATGCTCACCAGTAGAAGGGATACTTCTTTTTGTCATGGTTAATTGATATTCCATAAGGTTGGCGACAGGTAGAGAAGCTCTTAGTTGGAAATCTTTTGGGAAAGGGGAAATCATTTGTTTCATTTTTTAAAAAATTTAGTAGATTGCATGGAATATTGTATGATAAATTCTAATATCTGTTCCCTGTGTCAACTCAAAAGACATTAGAGCAATGGTTTACTTCATCATGCTGTGGGAGCGGTAAGTGTGTAAATTTTGGTTCAGCGTAGAGGTTGAGAGACGAATAATGCGTATGTAGACTGAGGAATATGATGTGATAAATTATTTAGAAGAGTATGGAATATTAACAAGTGAAATCATATGCGGTTTTTATGAACTAGGCCAATTAACTTCTCTTCAGAAACTAAGAAGAATCCCATGTGCTGAAAATCTGTCCATTAGGGTATTTTGTCAGAGATTGAAGATGGCATTGTTGGGTATAAGGGACACTATGCTTGTTTATTGATATTTTAACCAACTTTTGCCAACTATGTATTACGTTGTTTCCTAGAAACTCATATGAGTCCTCATGTAAATTTTACTTAAAAATAATGGATTCGCCTTAAGATATCATGCATATTTAGGATTGAGTATGACTCTTCAGATGTCCTCTAACTAGCTACTCAACAGCTCCTGATGCATATCTAGGATCGAATTCTTGAAAAACGGATCCAGTTGATCATATCAGACCGAACAGGCAAGCCATAATTCAAATAAAAGTTTTTTCTTGAACTATTGCTTCTGGAACTAGGAAATTATGTCCTCAATTAGAGGCTTCATTCAGGTAGCTTTCCATTTAGGCTCTAGAACTTAAAGCCTCCATCAGTGACGAAGCCTCTGTGCCTCTGTGCCTAATGTTCCAACAATTGTTTCGCGTTTGTGGTTATCTATTGAGACTTGTTTGATCTCATGGAAAATCATGCAGGAGTTATATGAACACTATTCGTAATTTGATTAGAATCAGCATTTGATATCTATTATTTTCTTCTTTTCAGGACTCTTATGTGGTTTCATGGGTCTACTTATTACGTTTCAGGAAAAACGTTTTATGCTAGGTATGTTACCGTATCCATTCTGTTCATAAAATCCTAGGAATTTGTATCAGAAAAAGCTGTCAAATTTAAGCTTCATAATAATTGGAAAATTTATTTTAATGTGCCAAATGTTTTTGTTGATGCGTATGTTATTTGGCATCTGTAGTCATTGGTTCTGGATGACTATATGATATCAAATGATTCATTACGTTATGTGAAAGTCAATTAGCAAATATTGAGATGAAAATAACGGATTTTGGCTTTGACTGCATTTGGTAGAGAAACAGATGATGGAAGCCAAGGTTGGGTATTCCTGCAATTCACATCATTAAAACAGCCATTAGAAATGTTAGGGAAATACTGCCAAACTTAAGTAAACCTTCTACTAATATCATATTGTAATTATTATACTTTGTTAAATTTTAGATTGATACTATTTGATGGAAGCAGGCTTGGCTGCTTGAACAAATCGGATCAAGCATTGACATCACTAGACTGCGTCCAGCTTTAGCTAATTGGATCGAAACAAGCAATCTCAAAAGTCACATTTGCCACACTGCTGTTTTACGTTATACGATGTTTGATCAAATAGTCCTTTGAAACAATAGTCTGTTCTATTTTCCATGCCTTGGAAAACTATCAAGGGCTATGTTAATATCTTCAAGTGTCATCCTTTTGTCCCCCATCAAATACAGCTTTTTATCTTCTGAATGGATCTTGATCAAAGGTTAACTACGGACTTTTCTTTCGGTGCTCTTTAGATAAAGTTGGAATAACGTAATACAAATATAACTAATATCGCAGTAACCGAAATCACTTAGAAACGCTCCACTTTGTTACTCTATTATGTTATCCATTGAGAATCTGAAAGTTCCTCACGTTACATATGTTAGTGGATGAAGGAATCTCCCTCTAGCTGCCTCCAAAAGAGATTAAATATTTGGCTGTGGGAGCCCTAATAATCCTAATCCCTTATTCGTCCAAGATCATTTAACCTCAACTCTATGTTAAACCTAAAGGGCACATGCTCATCGTATGATCACTGAAAGAGTAGACAAGATAATGAGCCCAAGTTTATCTTATTAGACCCACTAGCTCTACGATTCCCCACTCAAATCTTGGGACATCAAGTTTGTGAACAAAACATTATCATAGAAACAAACGAGTTGCCAAAATAGATGTAGCTATCATATAAACAAACCAACAAATTTCATGCCATATGGGATCATTAGTTATTTTGGGATCATGTAAGTGTTCATGTCTGCAGAGAAGTCTTGGTGAAGACATGGGGTTCTATGCATTTTGAAATGGTAAATGAGTGCACCTGCAAAAGATTCATTATGCATTATTAAATGATTATCTTCCCAGATGTCTACAGGCCATTTGTGAGGATGAAATGCTACCAACTTTATAGTTTCAATGAAATGTGTCTTGTAGGAGAAAATAGTCTAGGATCCTATTGTAGGTTCAAATAATTACAAATATAGAAGGATTCTGTCTCACTAGACACTAATGTTGGTTACCTCAGGGATGGACACCCGAAATTATGACTGAAATGGAAGGTGCATATGAATAGCCTAAAAACATTCCCTAATTCCCTACACTTGGAATGGGTTAAACCGCTCTACTTATGATCTTCATTGTTGTCGCCTAAAAGTTTGGAAACCTTAAAGACAGGCATCAGTCCATGTAGATTAGTAAGGCTTGCATCAGAATGGCTTGTAATTTTCAGAATCATTATGGTTTGTGAAAAATCTCTCACATATCGTACTCAACCTCAGACTGAGACTTGTCTTCTACAGATATGTGAGTAATTACTATTGTATCAGGCTCAAGCTTAGACTTAGACACCACGATAAGATTCAACTTGGCATAGACATGCTAGATGACCCTCATGATGACACCAGCAGTAAGTGATCTGTCCTTGAATCATCTGAAGTAACTCCCCTTTGTATTTGACACGGGTGATGATTGAGTGATGCTAGTAGATCTCGAAACAGAATAACTAGAGTCATTAAACCTTGATTACCATTCCTAACTAGGCTAGAGATCTCTTCAGGTTGAGAATTAATCTTTCTAGTGATAACTGGTTTCGGGTTATATTGATACCACTAATGGGAAGGTCTGATAAAGGTGGTATTCAAAGAATTATCCAACTGGGGAGCCAGACAAGGAAAATCTGGGAGTCAAAGCTCATTTAAAACATGAGTGGGCATCTAATAGGACCATAGATTGTCTGCCTTTTATGACTCACCTAAGGACTTGGAAACGTAATGACAAGATGTTCAATCCTTGTCATGAGTGGGCATCTCATGATCATTGCCGATCAAGGAGAAATACCCTCATAAAGTCGGACATCCCTTTTGGAGAATATAGTTTCCGTCCATTGGTCAGAGTGACTAATCTGGACGTTCAGGATAAACTAGACAAGAACAAGTAATGGAGTAATCACCAATGCATATAAAGAATGGATGCGCTCCTCTTAATGATTTATCATCTGACTGGATAATGCCATTATTTCCACGTGCATGTTGGTATTCTTCAGAGCATGCTGCTGTTCCACGTAAAATTGGTCTCAAGCTTATAATTGGGAATTTCTGAGCAATGATGTAGATGCAGCAATCTAATTTATTTGAGTTTGACATTGGTTTTTCTGGTTAACATTATAGTTCTCAGTTCGTTTATTCGTCATATCTGATTTTGTACATAAATCTTATAATCATTTCCAAATAAAGATAGAGGTGTTGCGTGATTTTCCTCACTGATAATGTTATTGCCCAGGGGAATTAAGTGAGAACGCTGGTTTAACCACGAGTGGAGGAGGCCATCATATATATCCAGTATTGGGTGGTATGCTTTCATCAGCTGCTGCTGGAATCTCCTACTGCCTCATAAGAGCTGCAACCAAATCATCTGATCAGCCTGTGTAGGATATCTTTATTTCCATGGTTTCATCGAGTACCTGTGCCTATTGCGATTCCAATTTAAGTTGGCTTTTCTCTTACCATCAATTAGCCAAACGATGGGATTTTTCTGTTAGAAAATGTAATTCTATTTTGACCAGTCTATGTGACGCAGCGGAAATTTGAAGAATTGATAACTTGATCACGTTTCAGCTTTGGCTGTGTATTTTGAAAGTAAAATCACGACCTTAAATCTAAAAGGAACGTGTCTTAGTTGAAAACTCCTTGCTCTGAATCTACAAAACGAAGAGATTTCGTCCCTTGAGTCCACAAGGGGTTGATCTTGAGTCCACAAGATCGAAAATGGCTCGCTGAGTCCACAGAGATATTGGAATCCACTAGTAGAAAAGGAGAACCTCCAAAAGGGAATTTGAAACTTGGTTCATAAAAACGTGTCTCCTTGGGGCTACAAGGGGGGCCATATTTAGAGGCCGAAATTAGTTATAACTAACCTATAAAGGGGGAAATCTGGTATCATCTTAGAAAATAGAGAGAAGAGAACATATTAAACCTTCCTATGAAAAAGGAGGATTCTGTTAGAAGGCCCCCAAGAAATAGGAATACTCTAAATAGAATAGGGAGATTATTTTATATGAATAAAATGTACGAATTGTAAGATTTAGGCTCAGTAAACATATGGCCAAATCTCTTAGTGGGCCATTAGAAGTTGAATTTGGGCAAAAGATAGTCTTCACAACTCTTGAATCTCTGATTCACTTGAGTTGGTCTAAAACATCATTGCACTTGATTTTATTCTTTTTTAACCTTCTCAATGCAGATCTTATTAGTTTCTCCACCTGGGTCAAAAATCTTCCATTCCTCATTTGATAGTAGTTTCTGGGCTACATCACTATGTCTAGAGCCTATTTATTTCGAGTTCTATTTTTAGAATTTTTAGATGTAAAAAATCAAGGTATTTATTATGTCTTCCTTATAGAAAATTTTGATGTATTTTATTTTGATGTTATGGGAAACCTAAGGACAAGGATGAATTCATGCTGTAAATTTTAAAATATGTGTTCATTTATTCCAACATATCGAATAGGATGTTTTCTCATCTACTATAAATGTAGCTTGGATACAACCACCCATATCCGAGGTTATACCATGGCAATTGTAAGGCTGAAGTAATTATAATAGTGTAAACTCAACGCCTCAATCTTTCACATTGAAAGATGTCTGGTGTATCATTTGAGTCTACAATCCTCTGCTGCCCTCCTTCATTTATCTGCAATTTTTTCCCACTCAGCCTACTATTATATTGTTGGGGTGCGTGCGTGAAAATGAAGGCAACTCTCAATTGAACTGTGCCGCGTCCCATAAATAGTAACATTAGCTGTCTTCTCATTCTACTCGTCAATCACTGGCCGTTTTGGTATCTTATCATATAAAATGTCTGATTGGAACTTTAATTGACTCATATTTTTCCTTAACCTGCACTCCTCCATGACATACGGCTTTTTGCTCCCCATTTTAATTGAGCTGGAGTAGGAAATCTGCCTCCCTCTTCCTTTACCCTGAACAGGAGGCTTCCCCTTGTATCTCTTTTTTCCTTTGAGGATTAAACAAGTTCACTGCTACAGACCTAAAGATATTAAAAATCAGAAAGTAAGATCCCTTACAGGCTTGCATTCTCAATCTAACCAAATGCAAAACAAGTGGAAGAAGGGGATTAATCCGAAATGTTCTTCCTATTCCTGAATCTTCATCGTGGTAGATGGATACCTTCACTGGTAGACTTGATGGAGGGCCCTTTCATTTTTCCATTATGATGTCAAATCTGTCAACCATAGGGCTCTGGAAAATTTTCATCAGGGAAAATATCATATGCCTCTTCCTCTTCCAAATCATGGTTTCTTGGATAGGACAATTCTAAGTCTAAATAGCTCTTCCTTTTTTTTTTTTTTCCCTTCATATTATATGTTGCTTCTTCCTTCTCTTTATTTTTGGAGTTTCCTTATCATGGTTCTGTCATGTTCAATAGGTGTTTTAAGGAGAAGAGTCGTTTTCGTCTTACAGATTCCCTTTGATCAAATTGAGTGACTACTTTTTGTTGTGAAATATTTCTTCCTCTGCAGGTCCAGTGTCCTTGCCTTTGGTGTCCTTGCTAGTTCTGTGTCAGCAATCTGTATATTCTGCTTTCAGGTAGAATATGGAGAATAACTTATCCACAGAAGGAGAGCAATCACTCTAAATGACATGTCTTTAGTTGGAAAATATTTAAATAATCATCTTCATGAACGCTGGATTAAGACTTCGTACCCATCTGTCTCTTCTAAAAACTATATATTTTCCTTATTTCTACACGAAGATTACTCAAATCTAAAGTGGCAATCTTGCTGAACTGGCGTTATTCCTCAAGTTTTTCATCTATGTTGACCTGCGTCACTGGCAGACATCCTCAGTGGGCAGTAATCAATGCGAGAGCCATCACTTGGGCCAACGTATACCGCAGTAGAGATTCGAAGATCAGGAGCAGTGTAGTTTTTAAAAAGGAGAAGAAAAACAGTATATACAACACACGCTACCTCGCCTGTGAGAGTGAGAATCAAGGACAAAAGTATCATATTATCTTAGGGGAAATAAATGGTTGAGCTTGAAAAAATTTCAGATATTACCCAGCACCGTTTTCTAGCATCCACGTCTTCTTCTTTATAGGAAAATTTTCACAAGCAGATGCAACACCTCTTTTCTTTCTCCCACCCTCTTGGCAGACGCCATCTTCATTCTTCTATGTTCATCTTCACTATTTATCTTATTTTTCTCTTTGAAACTTGACGAATGAGGTGGTTAATGTTTTCCTCAGGAGTTTGTGGTACCGGATCTTTTGACCTTTTTTCTCATGGTCATACTCGGTGTATTGGCATTCTTTGCTGAGGTGAGCACGCTTCCTATTATGCCTGATTCTTTCTGATGTTACTTAATTTTGTTGGGTCTGCTGTGAAGTATCAACTCTCTGCAAAATATCATCTGAAGATCATTGTGGCCCATTTAATAACTGGGATCTTATGCAGGTTTTCCTAGCTCGTGGACTTCAGCTTGAGAAAATCAGTAAAGCCACAACGATTCAATATCTGAAGGTTCGTTCATGTCCAAGTTATTTTTATATGGCTGTTGGTTGGAGTTATCATGATCGACTTTCCAGATATACAATTTTTCATGGCGTTTAATGTAATTTTGTATAGTTTCTCTCCATTAAGGTCATTATTTTATGTTGATGAACATAGATGAGCATATTTTATATGCTTTCTCCTATTTAATTTTTTTTCTCTCGAGATAATTTTTATTTTATTTTTAACGATTCATGTTCATTAAATAACATTTCTCAATGCTGATTGATAGAGATTAATGTATGCATATACACACAAATACTCTTCATTTCCAGCAATCCCAGAACGATTTTATTTCTCTGGAAGATTTGTGATATCTCTCTTCATACTACAAAATTCCTGGGCAGAATTTTATTTTTGGTCCTTTCCATTTGCTCTCCTTTCTTTTTTTAGAAAAAAATAAATAAATCTCAGTTATCAGAGATGTGATAGTAATATCCGTGGAATATTATGCTCCATGTTTCAGGTGTTACTGTCACAGATGTGGGCCATCTCATTGTCACGATCTTCACCGTCCTTCAGTAGATCGGTTGGGCTGGTGTTTATTTTCGCATCAGGTTGCATCATTCTCTGTTCCAAAAGGACAGAGAGAGAAACAGAGATGGGCTCCTAGTTTCGGCATCTCTTGCTGTTCTTGGCTACTCTCCACTTTCTCACACATCCACCGATTTTCTCACTCATCCGGACAGTGATAGTTGCTAAGTCTGTTTTCTGGTCTTCTCTGGTGAGAACGAAAGTCACAGGTAGAGAGAAGATGGAAGATCTATACGCAGGTGGGTAGGGAGGAGATTTATGGGAAATGCTTGCTTTCTGTGGAACCTCACTCAGCTTCTTCTGCTCGAGCAACCCTGCAGCTTGCGAGGACACACACTGGTTCTGAAAGCCCAGCAGCTTCAGATTTTCACTCTTGCCTGTTTTGTTCTCTTCGGTTACATTTGACTTTTTTTCTTGCTATTTTTTGCCTGTTGAGCCGGAAAAGCCCTTTATAGAGTGATTAAAGCTGGGTTGATGGACGAGGTAAGATAGGATTCAAAAATCCCTTTTTTTCTTTTTACCGAAAAGAAGTTTTTTTTTTTTTGGGTCGCCTAAAAAGAATGAGATCAACGGGTAGTGCTACAGCTAATCGAGGACACCCTTTGACTTGTCCCCCCTTTTGAGCTTAAGTTGACCTTTAAGCGCATCTAACCACTTTCCGTTTTTAACAAAAATAATATTTCCCATTGAATTATGATTTTGTTATGCTTTATTTACCCTCGAACCCTTTTACATAAATTCCTAGAATATCCGATGTACATAAATTTCCAATTAATTTCCTGCATACATAAATTTAAATGACACCCTTTGACTTATACCCCCTTCATAGAGTGAAGCATACACATCTAATTTCCCACTATTTATTATTATTTTTTTTTTTCACAGAGAATTATGATTTTTTTTTTTTAAATCGTATATTTCACCCTTGAAGCCTTTTACATAAATTCCCAGGACATTCGATGTAGTATAATTTTTCTCTCACCGTTTTATCTGCTAATCGTGCGATTAGCGCGCGTTAGCACGTGGAGGGTACCTTCCCTTCTTTGAGGCGCCGCCGACCGAGCCCTACCCAGCTCTCCCCGTTCCCCGAGTTCCTTTTTCTTCGTGTGGAGTGCGCGGCAAGTAATGGAGGGAGCCCCTGTGAGCGCTGAGGGGATCGTCCCATCGGCGGAGGATAAGAGCAGCCTGATCGAGTCGTTCTGCGCGGTCACGTCGTCCACACCCTCCGAGGGACAGTTCTTCCTCGAGAGCCACAACTGGCAGCTCGAATCCGCCGTCCAGTCCTTCTTTGACGCCGCCGAACCCGCCGCCGACGACCACGCCAGCGTTCTTCCCGCTAGCGCTTTCGTACCCAGAGGCCGCCGCCGTCAGAGTCAGGCAGAGGAGGAGGAGGGTGAGGACGACGCGGACGACGAGGACGACGAGGATTACGTCCCTCCTGTGGACGAGCAGCCCCAGCCGCGTCCTGCGACCCGCCGGAGCATCGCGGGCATGGCCTCGTCCTCCGGGAGCGGGAGATCCTCGAAGCCATCGAAGCCCTCGGGAGGCCGCCCTGCCGGCGGGATCCGGACGCTGGCTGATCTGAATCGACGGCCTTCCCCCGGCTCGGACTCTGAAGATTCCGACGGTCCGCAAGAGTATTATACTGGTGGCGAAAAGAGGTGAAAAACCTATACTTTTTCTGTTCCTTTCTCGCTCTATAGCATCTTGTATGGATCAATTTTTGCGGATCGCGTTTATTCCCCGTAGATTAGATAGAGAGATAGGGCGAGAGAGAGGAGTCTTCCGGAAAGAGTTCACAGTTGTCACTACTTTCCCTCTCCGCAGCGTGAAGAATAGCTTCTGTTGAGGAAGATTGTGGAATTGCTTTCAAGAACTCTTAGCTCCTCTGATGCGGGAGATTGTGGTTCTCTATGATGGTCTTAAGAGTGGGTCTAATCATGTTGGAAACCCTTGGTAGAGCCTTGAGGGTTAAATGCCTGTCACAATAAGCTGTTGGGAACACAGATCATGCAGCAGGTCCATTCAAGGAAAACACCCGAACGATTTTGGAATATGGAGAGTGAATACTACTGGCTGTCCAGCCATCGTTATGCTCTCTTTGGACAGGATTCATATGGAGGCCATCAGTAAAGTGAATATCCACGTGTGATAACCTTCTAAAGTGAAGGCTGAATGCAAAAAATTGTAGCACATCTGTTCTTCAATCAAGGCTACTGTTGACCATGTATTTGTGGGACGCAGTGCAGCACTATTTCTACATTATAATACAGATATTGTTGGATCGAGGTTTTAACGTTTATTTCCTTGTGCTCAAGCGCATATGTCAGTAGACTCTGTACCGTAATTGAAAATGCCCTTTCAGATCATTGACTAAAAGGTGCTCATTTGAGAAACTTTGTGGAGTTTTGTGGAAATGGAATGAATGCCGAGTTGTGAAGTAGTCCAGAAAGAAAAATGTTTCTCGCCATTTCTAGGACATCTTTTCACCTAAAAGTTTTTTTTGGGGGGGGTTAGACCCGGTCATGTTCCTGAAATGAGTTCCTTTTTATCCAAATGTAGAATCAGCATGATTTTATTTGTTAAGGGCCGACTAATGTTGGGATACTTCTCCTTTTTCTTTCTTTTGAAACTTGTAATCTTCTATTGCACTCATCAGCATATTTGGGCTACTTCGATCTGACCTATTACAATGGTTGCGTGGGTCGTTTGAAGCTCCACTTCTTTGCTTGGAATGGTTACTACAGGTGAATTAGGAATATCCTTGGAGAAGGACATGAGTTGCTGGCCATTAACTGTCTCTCCTAGCCAGGAATTTTATTTTTTCAGATCTAAATTTAGCTTTAGTACAATTAGGATTTCGCCAAATGGTGTTTTTTCTTTTTCAGAGTTACTATTGTTTAAACAGTGTTTCATGCTTTGTCACTTGTTTTATGCATTGAATCCTTACAGACCCAGCTAAGGCTCGCTCATCTCACGGCTTGCTTGGGCACAATATCTTTCTCTTCCATTCGTACTATCATATCACTATTCTCTATATGGATCTTACTTTTAATTGCATTGTAACGTTTTTCAACTTGGCATATGAATGTGAATATGCCGTAATCCGTGAATGTAACCGATTTACTTTGTGCATGTTTTTCTTAGTGATTATTTCTACACAAATGGATAGACATGATTTCTTGTCTTGCTCTTTGTTAGTAATTGTAACAGTCAACAATGTGGGAGGTGTTTGAATGTATCTCTCTATGTGTGAAGTTTCAAGAGTTCAGTGTATGATGGGATATATTTGTGTTAATAGATGGGCGAAGTCTTGTAAAAGTACATGGGATGAGGGATCTGTTCGGTGAGACCAGTATTGCTCTTGGTCAGCCATGTAAGAACTCTAAGGGAGGCCATGTGAAGCCAAGGAAGCCAACGAAAAACATAAATACTAGATTAAGAAACTGAATAAAATAGAAATCATAGGAAAATTGTTCAAGAGCTATCACTAAAAGAGGCCAGAATGCCTCCATAATGTCATTACCTCCGTTGAAGGTTACTGGTTGAATGTAATTCTTGCCAGGACCTTGTAATGTTTTGTTAGAAAGTTATTTGCTTGGATGGAGTTTTGTTTGCACTTGATATTCTTTGCTGAGTAGATTTGACTTGGCTCCTCCATCTGGTTTCTCCTTTTTGCTCTAAACTTTCGAACTTAACCTTTAGATGTAACAAATATTTGTTCATTTTCTTGGGAGGAATTACTCAGTGAATCGGTGGTATTTTTGTCGCTCAGCGTTGGATCTTAACTGACGCTGTTGGTGTAAATATTTCGCAGTGGAATGCTAGTTCAAGATCCTTCGAAAAGTAATCCTGATGTTGAAGCAATATTTGAGCAAGCTAGACAGATGGGAGCAACACAGGGACCCATGGAACATCAGCCATCTTCAGGCTCTAAAAGTTTCACTGGAACTGGTAGGCTACTCTCTGGTGAAACCGTGCAGGTTGCCCCCCAGCCACCTGAGGAGGTCCTACACGACGTGGTTTTCTGGATTGATGGTTTCACTGTGAATGATGGTCCATTAAGGAGGTTCGATGATCCTGAAAATGCATCTTTCTTAGAGGTAAGGTTCTGCATTTTCATTGGAAACTAACCAAATTTTTACCCATGACCACATGATGTTTATTATGTTTTGCGCATATTGCAAGTACTTATCACCGCCTTTCAATCTTCAAGTGATTCTAGTTCTTTGTTTGCTTGTTGATTTTTAACTGGCTTTTACCGTCTTTGGAGTGATGGAATGCTTACTTATCATGATTTTTGAAATGATTTTGAGTCTCTAGGAGTTTCAATTAAATTGTTGGGTGAAAGAGAGAATCGTGTGAACATAGGCTAGGAAGAAAAAAAACTCACCTGCTGCAGTTACAATGGCAGTGCCACCTGTGTGATCCATCGGCCAAGAAAAAAAAAAAAAAAAAACCAGTGCGCTTTTTTTTGTGCTTTCTTCCTCTTCTTCACGCCAACTCCAATGCGAGGCGTGCCATTTTTGGCAAATGCATGGACGTTTATATAGGGAACTGCAGTCATCATCTTCTTGCCTCTCCTGATAGTCTTGTCCGAGAAGTTCATTGCTTTGTTCTTCTATCCTCCCAGAGTATCAAGAAATCTGAATGCCCGAGGGAGCTTGAGCCAGCAGACAGGAGAACTGCTGTTCATGTGAATCTCTCGAGGAGGGAACAGAACTGCCCAGTGAGTCTCTCTCCCCCATGGGCATTCCTTCTCTGCACTCCCTGGTCCAAATCCCCCTATGCCTAATGGACCATTTTCCTTTGCTTGTAGGAACCCGTGAAGCGCTTCAGCGCATTTGTCGGCATTGGGAGAACTCTAAGCACCGTGCCCGCCGCTGCCGGGTCACCCTCGCCGGCACCCGCCGCCACCTCTACCGATGGTGCCACTGGGTCTCCGCCCGGCGGGCTTTCGGTGGACGAGTCGCTCCCATCCACCTCAATTCAGCTTAGGCTGGCGGACGGAACTCGCATGGTTGCCCGCTTCAACAATCACCATACAGTCGGAGATATCCGTGCCTTCATTGATGCCTCGAGGCCTGCCGCAGAAAGGGGCTACCGACTGCAGACCATGGGCTTCCCCCCGACGCAGCTCACGGACCTTGCTCAGACCATTGAACAGGCGGGACTCGCTAACTCAGTGGTCATCCAGAAATTGTAGGCGGTGAAGTTGCTGCTGTTCTCTCCGTATCTCTTTGGCAGGGGAAACGCAAAGCCCCTTCTGTTCTTGAGGAGCGCGTCTGAACTCGGTGGCTTTTCTTTCAAGATACTTTTAAATTCCATGTATTGGAGATTTGTGTAATCATGATGTCTGATGATTTACTTTCATTCAGTTATCAGCTTTTGAGGGCTCGACGGCAATAACCCTACTAATTCCTCTTCCTTGTTTTTAGCCTGCATTCCCTCTGTTGAGCGGTTTCTTCTTCTTCTTCTTTCTATCTCCTGAGATGAACACAATGCTTGAGCTTCCCCTCAAACGTAGAGAAAAAGCAAAGAAAGAAAGAGAAGAAAGAACCTGCTATTCTCTTCATCTCCAATAACTCCTGCCGACTGCTGTGTGGGGGAAGAACTGAAGGTTTTTGATCGTTCTGAGCTCAGGACGTGGGCAACCAAAAACATATGCTGGCTTTGATTCGTTCAGCGATAATGAAAGCAGAGTTGATCGTCTCCTCTTGAAGCCTTCTCTTGAAGCACCCTTTTTTATATGAAAAAAAATTACGATTGTGTGTGAAAAACCAAAGGCAAGGCTAGGCTGGTTCTTTGATTATACGAAGCGCAAACCAAAAACTAGGCTAAGTAGATACCAAACCGCTGACCAGCGTTTATTGAATCCAACGTTTTTGGTAGACTGATTAGAGCTCATTCTTGATCATTCGTCAACTTTACAGCATACTTATATATTCTCTAATGATTAATATTAACTCCTTTTCATCGATCTTCAGGCGATGAGATCTAGGCAACCCCACTGTTCAACACTCGGTTCGAAGAAATTCACGTGGGCATTATACATGAATCTATCTGTCTAGAAATAGAAAAAGAACACGTATAATTATACACTTGAAAAGTCATTCAAAGAGTTTCCCGTGGCCACGCATGGTACGCTCGTAATATTTTTTTGCATATTTTTTTTGAGATTAAGACAGAAGCCATGATACTAAATCTGCCCAAATTCTCTATGACTACCAATTTTTGGAGCTCCATCTGCGGTGCAGAGCTCTCAGCGTATCTCCAAAGCAATTCTTCCATGTCCCGGAAGGAAACCTAAACCTACATGATGGGATTTGCAATTCTTCCACCGGACTAAAGCTTCCATTTTGAGCGATTGGATGATATGCCCTTGATCCACACTGCTGATGAAACAGAAAAATTAAGGTTCCTCAGACGATGCCCAGAAGGCCTCGGTCCCTAGCAGAATAAGAGGATGACGTCCTCTTCCTCTCCTCTGATAATTCTTGGAGCGTTCTCTGGCGGACTTCGGCGCACTTGACGTACTCCTCGAGTGGGGGCAGATGAATATCCGCAGCGTCACTGGCTGCCTGGCCTCTGATCAACTGTATCATGGGCATTCAGTCAAAAGAGCATCAGTGAGTATCTAGACCAGCGGAGAGGATAAAAAACGAGGAAACAGCGGTCGGACCACACCTTTGACGCCCAGCGGCGCTCTGCCTGCTGGCAGACGTCCCTGATGTCTCTTCCAGACATTCTAAAAATAGGAATAATCAGTGGTTGGAGGATGAATCAGTTTTGACGACAATGATGGCTTGAGAAAGAGCAGTAATCAAGAGTCAATGACAGATGAGCCAAAATGCTAAAAGAGCTTCAACATATCAAAGGTTTGAAAATAAACCAGTCAACATATGGCTGCTAAAATGCTAGTAGAGCTCAATAGGAAGGCCTGGGATATCTTATCAAACGTGTTGTTGCAGAGGACATTATGAATATAGAGGATTAACAGCCTAAAACAAAAGAAAGAAAGAAAATCATAATTCAAAAGAGTCAAATCACGCTCGCCACAGTTAAGTTTTGAATTTCCCAGGCGTGGTGCTGGGAAAAAGATATTAGTGGCTAATCGTGAAATAGACATCCCTATTGATGTGGGGAAGGTCAATATGGACAATATGAAGAAGTATACATGCATATATATATATATATATATATATATATGGACCACTGAAGGAATATCACCTCATTCAGTTCTATTCTCCCTTCATTTTTGTCTTTCTTCACACAACAGAAAGTTCTTAACACCTTTTTTTTCACCCACAACTCAAATTTCTTCTGACATATTGCACTACTTTGTAACCAGCTAGAAATAAATTCTGACCATCTAACTCTATCATTCATGAACTTGAGAGACAGCAGTAAAGAAAAGGTAGCCGATACTCCCTTTTTTTTAAGGAAAGAAGACATGTTAAACACTAATACATGAGTTTATGTTTACCTATTAATTATAAATAGCGTCTTTTTACATAAACTCACTCCTTTTGCTTTTCTACTCACTTCCACTCAGTCCAACACCCAACTTGGTGGGAGCAGAGTGAGGAAAGGGAAGATTTCCACAGGGGAAGATGACTGCAGCCAGCACAAGCAGATGGTAGCAGACAGAAAACAATAGGTTGCGGACTGCAGAAAGAGTACGTTCAATTATTTCGTTCTTTTTCTCCCGCTCTTCAACTTTTTCTTGGGTTCTCTTTCCCCCAGTTCTCTTGTTGGAGCTGCTACGCATTTTCCCACTTGGCAGCTGCAGCAAATCGTAGTTTCCGTTCTCCAGCTTCCAGAAAGAAGACAATAAAAGGACCAGTCTGTCCTGAAATCAGCTCATTTAATAGAGAATGACAGATTCACGGGTGTTTCAACCCATATTTCATATGAACTTCAAGGAAGATTTAATTGCACTCTAGAAATCGAGGACTACAGCTTCCTATCCAGATCCTTTAGAGAGTAAGTTCTCTCTTGCCTTGCGTACGTACATGTACATATTAAAGATGACTTTACAGATCATTGACCATCAAAAATTAATTGAAAATATTATAAGTGGGTTTTATCCATCTAATTACGATGAATAAATGGATATCAAGGCAATGCTCCGCTATCCTTAATTCGGAAAACCCCAATTCCGACTTGCCAGACATTGTGTTGAAATTGGGGCCAATTTTTATAATATCCTGATCGAAGTTTAATAACGAGTTTATTAAGAATACGTACCATGCAGAATCAAACACAGAAGGGAAAAAAAGCGAAGTACTCCTTCCACAAGCTAATGAAACGGCGAATTCTAACAAATCTGTTCAAATGATATGTGGCTTAAGAGTACCAGAAACTGAATGAAAAATCAAACTGAATGATATGAGTGCTCACCCCTCAGTAGCTTCAGAAAGCTGTGCTAGCTCCGAAACCTTTAAATGCTTTGCATATTGAGATGCTATTTTCTCACGATTGTGTTGATCAGGGAGGAAAAACGGAATCATGGTGTCGAAGCGACTAGTAGAGAAATGCAGGATCAGCTTAATTCATAAGATTTTCACAAGTAAAATCGAAAAAGTAGGCAAAGGAGAACCTGATGAGAGCAGGATCAAGATCTTGCTTTCTGTTAGTCGCAGCAATCACAATCACTCTCTTCTCCTGCTCAAATCCATCAATCTACAAATCGAGGGAAAACAGCTTGAAATTACCGGCACATTCAAGAAAATCACCGTTTAATAAGAAAAAGAGGTGTATACGAAAGTCGCAACAAAAAAATAAATTTATTCATTGATAATTGTTTTTTCTTTCTCTATGTGCCTATCCACTTAATAAAAGACAGGATAAGTTCTACAGAGGAGTAGGAAGAATGCAGTGTAACAATTCTTAAATTCATCAGCGTCTAGGCATCCACTTCATTATCAATACACGATTCAGAAATTTCTAAAGTGGAATATTAGTGTATAAAACAAAAGCAAAACGAAAACACCCAGGCACAGGAAACGTTATATGAATTTTTTTTTGAAAATCAATCGTGCATTCCAAACAAAAACGATGAGCAGCATAGATAACTTTTTGCCAAGTCAAAGACATTAACTGACTAGTTTGGCAAATTTTCAATCCAGAAGAAGCTAGGAAAATTTGGGTACCATTTTTACAATCTTAAAATGCTTTACCTGACGCAATAGAACAGATAGCATTCTACGAGTTGCTTCATGAATTTCACTATCTCGAGAAGCAGCAAACGAATCAATCTAAAAAATGAGTAAAAATAAACATTAAATAAAAGGATATTGAAGGAATAGTTCTAAGTAGATGATACTGAAACACTATTGGATACCTCATCTAAGAAAATAATTGCTCCATCAGGCAGGTCATTAGCTAGAGAGAAAACATTTCCCAACATGCGTTCGCTTTCTCCATAATATTTTGATACCACCACTTCCAAGGGGACATACAGAAGAGGAACACCCTGGAACAAGAGAGATGGAAATTAAACATGTCATTAAGCCTTAAGAAAATAACAAAACCACGAGGAGCCACAGCAGAATATAAGTAAATACTACAGTTACTAGCCCCTATCATTGCAAGTGACGTGAACAATGTCCACTGACCTATGGTCAATGGGCAGTTCCTAGTCCTAAATGAACCAATGCATGTAGTTTTCTGGTCAAAAGATTGAGAAATAACAAAAAAACATGTGCTGCTACATTTAAATATATTCACAAAGTGATAACACAGCTCAATAATTATTCCCCTTAAAACAAAAACCATGGCTAGATAGTGCTCTCTAAGGTTATTTATATATTATTAATTTTCTCATATTTTTCATGGAAAGGCAAGTGTTTTAGACATCAAGCATTGCCTGTGTGCACGTGGAGCGGGAAATCATCTAGCGCTAGATGAAATAGATAGCTTGAGATTGGAGTATTTGAGTTCAATACAAAACTCATAACCATCTATAACATTATTTGGTAGCCGTCAGTAAAACTAGACACGAAAAACATTAGACAAGTCACCCACAACGATTATAAGTAAAATAAAACTGTTTGGGAATATGTGATTTGGAAAATTTCACTAAAAAATCATGTTAACATGTGGAAATGTATAAATTATGTCATTCAAAGAAACATGCATTATTTAAGAAATTCTAATATAAGTATATATTTATATATTGAACCACCAGTGAGTTTATGATTGAACCAGAATTTCAACTTGATTGAAGACAATGCCATTCTCTACTGAAATAAGATCGCAAGCCGCACAAGTAGACTCTCAAGTTGAACCAAATAACGCCCAAACGTAAACAAGATGTATATTTACCCAAAATTCCTTCATTGAACAAATTCTATTTCATAATACATGTCAACCGTCATTTGATGGTAGCTTCAAAATTGAACATGATCTTATATTGTGTTGTAAATCGACCAATCCAAATAGTCTACTTGATGCATGAACAGACAGAAAAGATTCATCGTCAGATAGAAAAAGCCTTCTCCACGTGATACCAATTTTCAAGAAGATTCTAGTTGTCTATAGTTAAACCTCCATAAGCCAAAGACACTAAATAAATAAAAGGAAAAATGATAAAAATAAATCATGCCAAACTGTTGTAAGCCAACAAAGTATCATAGAAACATGTAACTATGTGTGGACGTAAGAGGAGAAGAATAAAATAAAGTTAAATGACAACCTTAATCTTAACAAAGAATGAGATCAAGAGGATGGGCACAACATATTGCGCACCCTTGATCCCATTTAGGTTAGATTTGGATGATGATAAAGATTATGCAGGAGAAGAATAGAGAGCACAGTTTTACAAATGGAAGAAACAAATTTATAAGACTTTGTGTGGCTCTTAATTCCAAGTGCATGATATTAAAACATAAGCACCGTAGACTTCATTTAGTTCACATTCAGTTGGTAATAATAACATGAAAGCACATACAAAATAAATAAGGAATTTTTAACTAAAGAGGAAATACATTCATAAGAGTCAGTTGAATATTTTACTACCCAGCACAAAATAACTTCAATCCAGTCAAAGTCATTCTTTACATATTTCAACACTTTAGGCAAATGTAATATTGATTACAGCTTCATGTATCTAAATTTGAAATGTTTCTGTCACTATGTTTTTACGCACAGAACAAACGAAACGGGAATATATGACTCACAGCTTGATTTGCAATAACCCGAGCACATGAAGTTTTCCCTGTTCCTGAAATTGAAAATTGTGTGGTTGTCAAGATATTAATATTGCTATTGGTACCAAGGTCTCCAAGACACACTTCATTTTATATTTGCATTATCATGTGATACTATCCAGAAACCTCAGTACCTAAGATCCACATGAAATAAACAACATATTTAGTGAAAATGTTTTGGACCATTGTACATAGCATTATTATCAGAAACTAGAGTCTCAAGCGCTTAACAGGCACTGAACTTGGTCATATGGCCTGGACACTTAGGGCCAAAAATCTTTCACATTCTTCAGAATAAAGAGAGTAAATTTCGATATTTTTGGTTATTTCCAAAACGAAAGCATTGGGTAAATGTCTTTAATCCAACAGCCTACTTTGACAATGGTTTTCTCAGTAATAGGCCAAACACAGGAAACATTTTCCATCATACTCAAACAGGAAAAACACATGTTTTACAATCCACAACATCCAACAGTATCAGTTTCTGAATAACAATCATGGGTTAGCAGCGTAAACCTTAAATAGAACCAGCTGTACGTCGGATTTCAGAGTGACTTGTGGGCAATATGCATGGTACAGAAAAAAGAAGAAAACTATAAATATTTATGTAAGAATTACAAAGCTGACACCTTTTATTAATGGTAAAGAAAATATACAGGAAACTATGCATACTTCCAAAGCACAATCTGCATCTATTCTCATAAGAGGCTGACCTGGAGGACCTTCAAAGAGCACAGCTCGAGGTCGGTTAGTCTCAAACTTCTGACGTGTAGCCCAAGCAATCTCATCATACACTTGAGGACTGTGCAGTGATTGTAGAATCGTATCCTCTATTTCTCTGTCATTATTTTAAATCACATTATATGTTGGACCATATCAGGACTCTAAAATGGAAGATAGAAGCTCTGAACATACCAACATGAATGACAATAAATTTTGCTAGCAAACCTTTCCAACACAACAAAACCAAGCGTATTGAGATAAATTAACACCTAATCAAAGAGAAGCTCGACTTTGGAAACCTGTGTATTCCTCCTACTCATTCAGAAAATCAACCAGTTAATGGGTACACCAAAATGCTCACATGTGACCACTTAAATTTTGCCTTAAAAAAAAACCATATATCAGATATGCTTTCCTTGAGGGGGAGTGTTGAGAATCAGTTATCCTTTCTTTGTTTCTCTGCATTAGAGCTAGCCGCGTTCTATTAAATCTCGAATCTTATTTGGGCCTACTAACCTATCAAGTCTTGAATCCACTTTGGGCTCACCTGTGCTATTGAGTCTATATATACAGCATAACTTTCAATAAGAAGGTGAGTGGATAAAGCTGTTCTCCACCGTTTGACTCAGGTCGGAAAGTGAAATATACTCGGTGAATGCTAAAACTCCCATGAAAATTAAATTTAAAGACAATTAGATGACATTTTTAAACCGGAGAATTTACTCAGTGAATTTTGGGTTACAAACTAGGATTAATAAATTTGGAGGCGTAAGCAATGGTAGTTGTCAGTGAGATCATCAATGGAGGAAGTACAAATTGGCGAATATATGGCAGTATTAAGTCTTAACACCTACCAAAAGTAACATAGCTTTCTATAAGTTGCTTTGAAGACACTCCTAAGGGTGATAGAACAAAAAAATTTATCTAGGCTGTAAAGGATAAATTAATATATTCTTTCCCAAAGGGCATGTTAGACCGGATCACATATATTAAACAGAGACTGAATACCAAAGTTATTAAAGTCCATTGGTACAGTTTTAAAAATGTACTTAGGCAGAAAGACCGATGGAAGAACTGTTACTTATCAAAGAAAAATTGAAACTGGTCATCAATTACCTCCAGAGATATTATGCCCACCTAAAGGAAAGAAAACAAATGAAGGTTTAGAATTCTATGAAACACTCTGAAATCATCAGCACAGATATCATTAAAGATAGGACCCTTTCATTCAAAACTTTAAAGATCACCCAACTGCCTTGTACTGTCTTCACCAGATTACCAAAAGACAGGACAATTTCAATGTTCGATATCAGTGCGAGATTTGCGTATATAGTCAATCACCTCGCATGTAATTAGATTGGTACTAAATTAAGTGCTTTGCACTGAAGACGAGCATCTTCCTCTCATCATTGAACTTTTGGTTTTCTTTGAATGACAGGGTGATTCACGTCAAACATAGTTTGTGTCTGCTTTTTGGAAAATTAGCTTTAACCTCCTTTCAAAATAGAAACAACATATTTTATAAATCGTCGCATAAGGACTATTGTTTTGCATCGGTTCTAGGAGAACAGGGGGAAATTCATTCACAAGACATAAGAACTGGCCAGGTTCGGAAATGGCTCAAGATGTAATAAAAGCATCGCACTTAAGTAAAAAATAAGGACCACGTACCCACATTCAATGCCCAGTCTAACAACCTTCTCTATTGCATCCAATCATTTGCCTAAGAATTTATTTATGACATTTTGCACTTCAAAGTAGATAAACACATATGAAGTTACATGAATGAATGTGAACAAGAAAATAGCTAGAACATAATCTCACCTTTTTTGTTGTTCATAGCCTGCAATGTTATCCCATGATATGGTACCATTTGAGGAGGATCCAGAAGCTTCATCAATTCCATAGACTCGCACTCCCATGGCCTCCAGGGACGATATTATTCTCTCCACCTGAGCATCAGTTTGCTTCTCTCTCTTGAATCTCTGTGGTTTCCGTCCTGATGCTTTTTTCGTATCAGTTTTCTCACCAGCTAGTTTCAATGCACTCACAAGTGCGTCTAATTCCACAGAAGTAAATGTTCCCTCCTTTATGAACTCAATTTCCTGAAAGGAGTTCACGTATTACAACTTTGTGAATAATCAGACAATCGAAACAATATATGAACAGTGAAATCAGGAGACCGAAGTAATTACACAATTCCCAGAGCTAACAAGTGATTCATATATAAGGACGCACAAGTTTCCTTTATGTTTCTTTTTGTCTTCATCTGAATAGCCTCCAGTTGTTTGTTGACTCTCTTCTAGAGCATTCAGCGTAAGTTGCCAAGAAACAGCACTAGCAAGTAAAGGCCAATATTAGAGGGGAAGAAAATCCATTGTTCAGAAAGCATAGAAGAAAATAACATACACAGTTATTCAAAAATTTGACAGATAAGACAACTCAGTGGAAAGAAACGCTACAGTACAACGTGTGGACAAACAAAGTTAAATACAAACTGAAGCCACATCGTCCAGGGGATCTAAACAGTCAAAACATTGATAAAAACCGTCGCATTCGGACAGAAAAAGATAAACATTCATAACTTCTGAAAGTATAAGCACATATAAATGTGTAGAACCGGTCGTTTTGAGTGAATAATTCATCAGACAGTCTCTGAGTTAAAAACATGTTCTTTCAGTTCTCTTTCACTCATAAAGAAAAATTGGAAATCACATGTGGAGGACCGGTGAACTGTCATTTGACAAGTGTTTGTATCAGATCCGATGTCCATGATGGATGGATTGCCCATCAGGGGTGAATGGAGATTCAGAGAATCCAGTGACAGAACTTTGGAAGAAATCGTCAAAATACATCATGTGAGGGAGTTCTGAGAAGTTCAATTTTTTCAAGAAATGTGTGAAAAAGAAAATAGCCCATCGTGGATCCGTGAAGGCCTTTGATCCGATTCAGATAGACTAACAGGAGACAAGAAGCCTTGTCATATCCAGTAATGCAAGAAGAACCAAATCTGGAAGATGACTTGCGCATGAGGATGTGGATGAACCAGGAATATGACTTCAATCGTCCTGTATATCCGAATCACATTCTACCTCAATACAAGAGCATGCTGTTGACTCAGGTGTGCGTTTACCTGCTGGTGAGCATTAGTTGGCAGGATTCTCCAGTCTTAGGGAAAAATTATTGAAGCAATGTAAAATGGGAAGAGAAAATAACGCATATGAAACTTTTGTATTCAATGTACATAATGTTTCATATGCCAGCGGATTTTGAAGATACAGAAACTTTTGTTTCTAGTTTGAAAGACTTCATCGTAAACATTGGCATAAGCCCTGGACTGTTCCCATGAACAAATCAGGGAGCTAATCAAGAAAATCACAAACAGAAAATGATCTGCCAAAAAGTCGCAAAGTTAAGTTGGTGAGCAGAAAGCCACAAGAGTAAAAGAATCATCTTTTCACTTTGAAAAATGGTTCGTTGTTGAACGGTTTTCAAGAACATCAAGCGAACCTGTGATGTACTGCTTTCTTTCTTCTTTGGGCTCATGTCATTCTTAATGATGTTGTGACCATCTTGGCCTTTTGTTCGGCTTTCCTGGTTTTATTAAAGATTTTTGTTAATGTTTTACTGCAACTGGGTGATGGACTACAAAAACCATTCTAAAAGCGTTCTAGATGGGAATTTTCTTTCGAAATGCTATCTTTTTTTCCTGTATAGTTCCCCCAGAGACTTCTTTCGCAGAAGTCAACCGGTATAGCTTCCTAATTTATTGAAATGAGCCTAAGACATATGCAACGCCAATTTACATCTTATAGCAATCATCTTTTTGTGAGTTAGATTTCCATCCTTCGTGATTTGAGGAAGTGGCAGTTCATTTCCAGCATTAGCAATTTAAACTGGGCATCATCTGCACTAGATCCTCCATAGTTTATAGTATGGGTATAATGCATCAGTTTCTGCCATGGTTTTATTAGGACTTATCTAGAATGCATTAGTTTGGGTAGTGATATTATTAGGTTCCTCATCTGTCACTGTGTCATGCTAGTTTTAGGTTCCACATCTATGATTCATCCCTTTGTGTCGTAGTATTATTAGGTTCAGATTTCTAATAGGTCACTCTGCATCGCAGTGCTATTAGGTTCCTCATTTATGATCCGTCAATTAGCTCCAAACATTCATATGGAACCTCTAAAACCCTCCGCTCTAGTAACCATCAAGGCTGATGGACCAGAAAGCCGAGAAGTGCATCAGATATATGTAACTGTTCCCCGTGCACTTTGAATTTGGTCATGAAACCGAGCCAACACAGCTGAAAATGGGATCCTACTCAGCAGCATATTGCATCAGATTTGAATTAATTTTACGATCATAAAACAGCCTAGGTGACAGTCTCATACGAAATGTTTGATGTATGGATGCGACAAAGTTATTATAACAACTAAGGCGATTAAGAGAGCGGTTTATGGCACTACTATGGGGAACATGGAATCACAACTAGGTGAAGACTAGTTTGCCTAGGATAAAAAAAGAAATAGTGATCTCAAAGTGATTACATCATACATTATATAAATGTTAACTGCATTTAATTTTTCTATTTATATTCATGAATTATTCAAACGTATAATAAAAAAAAAAATGTAAATTGGCAATAAAAATTTCTATTCTTAGAGCACCATCAAAAAGTCTATTACTATGCTTTCAAAACTAATTCTAGAACCTACATTAAGAGATCATTTTAGCATGGCGAAAATCGGTTTGTGCTGGTATAACTAGCAGTTATACTTGATCATATCAGGTTGATCAGTTTAAAGATGAGATAAATAACATTGAAATTCAATATACAAGCTGTACCTATTTTAACTTTCCGTTTGGAAAGACATTAATTTTTTTTATTTTTTTTCTGTATAAAGCTTTCCAAGACGAAAACCGTGCTCCTAAAATATACTTAATAATATTATGTCTAAGTGTAACTTTATTAAACTAGCTTCCAAGGCAACTAAAGCACTATGCTGAAGAAGATGAGTGGTTTTCACACCAGCTCAACTAGACAATGGAATATCATGTCATCCAGAACCTAGTTGCCTAGTTGATGATCGTACTCTCCAGGAATCAGTACATCCACTCAAAGAAGCGTTTTCTTACATAAACATATATATTATATTAGGAAGGCATCTGTTTGAAAACTCTTAGATTTGTGTATCCTCTATGCCAGTCCTGGTTGGCATTCAAGTTTTATTAGATCTAAATATAAATGTACATATGCACGTATATGAAAACAATATAAATTCTTTTTTTATCATTCCAATCTGCATCCTGATCCGTTCTCAAGATTTCACACATCGTGGATACCAGGCATTTCCATGCCACTGTCAAGTTTTCAACTTTGAACTAAGACCAGAAACATACTTATACTAATCATTTATCATACTCAACTTTAAAGGAGTTGAACTACAGATTAAATATAAATATTCCATTTCGGAGGTGACAACAGCAACAGTTTCTTCTCCTCCTGAGACATCCATCAGGCGCCAAGCACAGAAAGACTAATCCCAGCCCCAGAACTAAAGACTGTAACAAATGTAATTACCATAAAAGAACTGGGAAAATAATCGGTTGATGCTTCTGATTGTCATTCCATAAATCAGAAGGCAATTTATTCCCTGATGATCAAAACAATAGTTTATGTAATGTAAAGCAAAAGGCTCCATGTGATATACGATTTAGTTCCCAGGCTATGTAGAAGAGAGGTACCGTAGATTCAGTCTCTTTGCTGCTCGTCACATTCGAACACCAGTCTTCAGCTTTGAAGGGTAATACATACGGAATTATCCCATTTAGAGAATTAGAATATGCTTAGACAGACACATTCCCCAATGACAAAGACGCATAGTACAGAAATATAGGCCACATACGTTTCGATTTTATTGGTTATGACACAAAGGATGCTAAAAACAAAATAGTGCTTAGAATAAAACATCCCTAGTCAACAGACAGAAAAGTACTGATAAAAATAGTAGCAAATTTAGAAGGTGATGCATGACAGCGTAAATCACTAATGCTGAACCGACATAATTACCTGTCCCAAGCACGCACAAGCATTTCTGAGCCACCCCCATGTTGCTCAACCTTCAGACCAAGATGGGAAACAAGATCTACAATCAAGTGTGATACCTCACATGATGGAGGGATCCGAAACTTTACAGTAATCTGTTGTGTTTATAGCGCAAATTAGATTTAAGTTTAAAGACTCCCAGACATATCTACTAATTCTGGTAATCAAACAAAACTAAATAAAGCACTAAACAATCCGAAGAAAAATTAGAATACATGAAGGCAGAATGCTGATGAGCGATTCCCAAATGTTATACATGAGTACCAATTTAGCACAAGATATTCTCTTTTCTTACCTTCTGTTCTCATTAACTACTATTGCCATTCTATCATTTAAGATAATGCTGATTCTAAACGTCTTTAAAGGCAACTCCCTTCCCTCACCATCAATGCAAACTATTTTTCTTTTACCTCGCTAATCATAAATATTCCAATCCATTTAGCATGGCACAAGCACGGGTATATTCCTCTTCAAAAATAAATTTTATGTCCCAAAAATGTATACTTCTGCTCATTGGAAATCCCACAGAACGTGCCAGTAAAATTAGAGGCATTTCCCAAGAAAACTGTTTACGAATGGAAGTAATGAGGACAACACGAAATCAAAAGGAGAGCGTGAAAATAGAAGAAAATGGTGTTCTTGGAATAATCAATATCAATGATTTCAATTTGGTGCTAACAGAAAAGTTGTTGCGGAAACGGAAGGGGAACCATGGTGGAATTCATCGGACAGAAAAAGCACAGCGTCAGAATACTATGACATCCACAAAATACTTTTAATATCTCCAAGTTATGGAGAAATATTTTACAAACTACAGATGTACTGCTGATGGGTAGTGAAATTTTTCTTGGTTATGGTCAAATGATACTGTTTTAGAAGATTAAGTGATGTCAGTAGCAACCCCGTCAGTGAATTTTTCAAATACTCCTGAGGATAACATAAGATCATATCATAATAGATCTGCAACTGCTACACACGTTAAAGGGGTGATTGTCAAAATGGTGCGTAGATTTGCAATATTTGAGCTTATAAAGCGCAGGGAGAAAAATTAGTGGTGTCTAGACATGTTATCATCCACACCAGACGAGCTTGTCAAAACTCTTCTGTTAAAGATGTCCAAGACAAGGAGTGGACAAAGGCTGGGGGACTCCGATTTCACCAACGATTTTCTTGTTTCTCCATGCACCGAGTTTAACTCACTTCTTTGAAACATTTTATAATTACGAACCTCGTTAGGCTGCAATCCATAAGTCCTTTCATTGGTACAACCTAACAAGCCTCTAAAACCAAAGGCGCCTACTAAAGATTCTCACGGAAATCGCTGCGGCAGCTTATCTCCCTTTTTGGTCCTCGAGTGGACGGCCATCATTCGTATCCTAGAGAACTGTGACAAGAAAGGATTTGAGTGTACAGATCGTCAAAGGCTGTGGTCACCGGTTTATCAATAAAGGAATCTATTTCTGGTGTGCTTCGGAAGGCAAAAGGAAAATGATAGGAAAACGTCTGCAACTGATGGAAGCAGCAAGTCTTTACGGAAAACCTTCAGCTCATAACGTAAAGAGCTGAAATGCGACTGAATTCCGAGATAACAAAACAAGATAGGAATTCAGAGGGAAATCCGTAAGCATCGAAATAAATTGATCATGAAGAATAAACCAGACCTTCTGACCCCTAGCTGAGACGGCAAAGGCCGGGTAAGTCCCCCTCTGCATCTCACTGGTCTTTAGCAACTCCTCCAGTCTCTGCCTCTCCATACGGACAAGCCTGTCCATCTCGTCCGAATCGGACGTTGGGCTCGACGCGATAGGGATTTCCCGATTCCCGTCTCCCTGATACATGGAAAACATCGGTTCGAATTTACTCCACACATTCCAAGTAAATTGGCCAGGGAAAGAAAAGGAAGACATAAAAGACTATGGCCGGGACCTCGCCGGCGTCTGCATGCGCCCAATCCAGAAAGCCCAGCGCGGACACGGACAACACGCCGAGGAACGCATGAGGGAAGGGCGAGAAGCTAGGCGTCCGACGGCTCAAGAGGAAGGTGGAGGAAGACGAGGAGCTGAAAGAGGAAGCCGAGAAGGTCGGCTGGCGAGCTCTCCACAGACGCCGCAGAAGCTGCCCCGCGGCCCGAGCACCACCTCGCGCCATCTTCTCCCGATTGCTTCGGCGGAGGACGCCACCCACCTCCTCCACTCCCCACGCAGACTTTCCGAAGCCCAGAGGCAGGGAGAAGGTGGTTTATTCACGCGGGCATACAACAGACCGACGAGAACGCCCCTCTTCCTACAAAAAAAATTATATGGGCCTTGTTAAGTATTTTCTTCAAAACTGGGTTGGCTGGGCCTGGCCGCTGTAGATGGGCCCAGTTACAGCCCAACCCAAAATCCTAAAACTCCCGTTAAAAATAAATAAATAAATATTTCGTTAGGAACTAATTCATTTAATCTAGCTGTAACTCGCAATGAACGAAAATAGATTCATTTAAAAATTAATAAATAGTTAAATTTAATACCATATATAGGCGGGTGCAATCATCATTTAATTAGTTGTAGATTTCCCAAAATAGAAACCCTACATTCATGTGATTTTTTCCTTTTCTTAAAAGTTCATGTTCCATGAGAGCATCATCCTTGTGCCAACTTCGAGCCCTTACAAGCTTGATGTTCAAAATGAAAAAATGGACGAGAGTTTTTTTTTTTCCCATCATAATAAAAGATTATTTTTTAAAATAATTTTAAGATGATAAATAATTGGAATTTTTACTTGACACTTGCATTCTTAAGTTGCTTTCCAGTGTACATTACAAGGATATAATCGTCTGAAAAAAGTATGGATGTAGATAAGGTGCTTTGTGAAATGCTTGCTCATTTTTAACTTTGGAGACATCTTCTTAACGATGACACCTAAAGCGCCCCTTATTGTGTGATAGAAGTAGATGATCGTACACTGCATGTTATGGGAAAACTTACCTTATAAGCCACTAAGTTCTTTCTATGAGCCTAATATTTTTTTCTCTTCCATTTTTATCTTCATATATTGGTATGAGATGGCCTTGTCTTCTCAATCTCCTAATTACAATCAGCTAGAGATTGTAATCATGCATGATAAAGATTTTTTTTCATGTTGTGAAATATTGAGCAACCTGCCAAAATTGGAAACAAACCTATTTTTGAGATGGGTGTAGTCCTCTAGAGGAATTCAAGTCACCTATTCTTTATTGATCTTGCCTCATCTTTTTGCTATCCTAATCATACATGATAAAGTCATATTTTTTCATGATATGACATAATGATGAACTTTCCATAGTGGGAAAAAAGCTATTTTTTAGATGGGTATACTTCTCTAGAGGCACAATGATTAGTCATAATGGCATATCAAGTCACCTACGGTTTATGATAAATCTACAAGTATGCTTGATGAATAAAATTATAAATGGGGACATTTTTCATGAGATATTTGGCTGCTTATTTTTCTGGGTGGCTGAAGAGATCTTGAAGATATTGGGAGACTCTATAGAAGGAAAGGCTCTGCCTTATCCTACCTTAGATTTAGGAAGTTCTAAAGGCAAGCCCCTGAAGGAGTTCTCTCTTAGCATCAGGGAATAGAGTGACATGAAAAGTTTGTGTGAGGGACAGAACACTTAACAATCATAAGCTACTAAAGAAACAAGAGTAACTAAGAGAATATTCACAAACCCATCTTTAGTAAGTACGAAGGGAGTTGGGTAAGCATCTTGATTGGTTCCTAAAAATACATTATTTGAGAATAAGCTTATAAATGGGTGGTTGCTTTGGCCTGAAAAAAAAGGACCCCTTTAGAACTGGGAGGGGACACTAACCCCTTTACAGCATTTGAGGTCTATCATCATTTCCCAGTGTTAATAAAACATAATTTAATGCACTTCTCATTTTTTATATCTTAAAAATAATATATTATTACCACTATAAATTCATGCAATTCGTTTGAATTTGATAGAACATATATGTGAAGGATCCTCTATACGTATAACATGATAAGGAAAGTACATGCTTTAATAATCATCTCCAATCAACAAACTATGTTATAAGTATAAAGGTCTTAATGTTTTGATGATGAATAGACAAGGAACATTGTTGGAAATTGAGATGCTCCATAAATTGTGTAGTTGGGCTTGACTTCAAACCTTTCCACTAATCCAAGGGGAAAAAAGCCCATGAAGAAATTCCATACCTGAAATGCACAAAGGAAAAAATTTCTAAACAAGTAGGAGTAAAAAATGCATACCCATAAAGTGTCTAATAAATCGTTCCAAGATAAATTCATGTAACACAAGGTGTGTAATGATAAATGAGGGGTGGTAGATAAATGAGGAATTTGATTACATCTTCTACATCTGATCTGAAATTCTTTATAAATCTAGCTCTTTTCCAACAACTAAATTTCTCAAAATATATTCTCAACTAATCTAAAATTTTATTAGTGTTCTAACAATTCTGTAGAGTTTTATATGATTTTTTTTGTAGAATTGCAGGCTTACCCCAATGGAAAAAAGATGAGTTGAGCAAATCTTGATCAAAATTAATTTTGGTCAACAAAAATATTGCAAAAATGTCTTCAACATTTAAATAGTTTTAAGACGTGAGAAATCAAGTGCAATTCAATTATCTTTTCATTATATTCCATTTGTGATTCAATTCTTCATCAACCTACAGAAAATGACATTGATGAAAAATCTTTTTCTTACTTTTTTAGAACAAAGCTTGTGCTTAAGCATTGCTTATCACATCAAAGGAATTGATCTTTGTAACTAGTTTTTTTCTAGCTTACCTTGAGCTATGAATCTAGTGAGAGTTTCAATTGAAAACTCTAAGAGAGTTGAGCTGTTGCAATCAATAGGTGTGCACTAAAGAATTAGTAGAGGTGATAAACTTGATGTTCTTGTTAAAATAATGTTGGTAGAGAGGCCAATCACTATAAAGTTAAAGTTTATATCTAAAAAATTAAAATAAATTTAAGCTCAAAAGAGAAGATAAGAAAAAGTTTACATATTTGACTCATAGTCAAAATTAGAATTAAATCAATTCAACTCTTCCTTCTTGATCTTAGAGAGGTCATAAATCAAATAATACCTTGTTTGTTATATTGATCTATCCCCCAATCAAATGATACAAACATCACACATTATTTAATTATGCTGCATGATCTTGTTGCATAAATGTGCATCATGACTTGATTATGATTGACAATCACATCTGGACTAGTAACATCAGTCATGGGCATATTTGCAACAATTCAATTTAAGAAAACCTAATCAAGCCCTTGGTGGATTCAAGCAAGCAAGTGCTTAAGTTGGGATCTTGGTTTTGTTAATAAAAAGTTTGAATAGTTTAATTGACCCAAATTAAATGATCTTTTAGTGATTTACCAATCATAGATTAAATGTTTTATTTGTCACACTTTACAAATTTTAGTTAAGTATAAAAATTAGGAGTTTGATTTCTTGACTTTAAAATAACTTGTTTAATTTTCAAGATTACACTAGTTCAAATATGGATTACATTATGAAATTCGTAATCATATGATTATAATAGAAGAATTTAAATGAAGTGTTTTAATCATTGGATCACCTCATTGGATTTAACTATAAGGTTAATTGATAAACTTTATAAAGTTTAATTAAGTGTGTGTGACATAAATTAGAACGGAGCAATAGAGCTCTGTTCGCCCCAAGGTCCATTAGCAGATAGGTGTAATCTTCGGAGAAGATTAACGGAGCTCAAAGAGTAGGAGCTCTTATGACCAAGAATCAATGCGGACCCTCACCCAGTGTGGTATCCAAAAAGTGAATTTGCCATGGACACAGCAACGGCACGAGGAAAAGCTAGGCAACCAACCCAAGTCGACGCTATCTGCCGTATCTCCACCGGGGGGAGCCATCATCCTCCTCCGTGGCAATCATCTGCCATCAACAAACTGAAGTCCCGGAGAGGAGAAACCACAATTCAATCACCGTCTCAAGGCATAGTCAGAACACGAGGACCAGAGGAAGAGGACCTGATCCACTGTTTCTTCTCCGCAGATGAAGACGTCGGCAGCCGGGGAGCCTATCCCGCAGAGAGATCAGAGAACCAGATACATGGCTGAGAGAGCAATCTTCTCGCCGAAAATCGAGTGTAGAGAGAGAGAGAGAGAGAGAGAGAGAGAGAGAGAGAGAGAAGAGGAGGGGGAGGGGGGGAGATTTTGTATACAAATATACATTTTTACTTACCTAATTTGATGGCATATTACCAGGTAAGTCGGGTCTCTCCGTTAATGACTGTCCTCCTACCCTCTCTCTCACAGAGAGAGAGAGAGAGAGAGAGAGAGAGAGAGAGAGAGAGAGAGAGAGAGAGAGAGAGAGAGAGAGAGAGAGAGAGAGAGAGAGAGAGAGAGAGAGAGCGAGAGACAGTAGCAACCCCAAACAACTCAAGAACGAGGTTTTACGGAACAAGTTTTAGCAAAAAATGATTAAAATAGCATGAAAATTTTAGTGAGCAAAGTCACTCATTCGATAAAGAATTATAGCAACTCCAGGCCCGACGACTTGTACGGCATTACTCACCCACCATCTCTCATGGCTCTCTCTGTCTCTCTCTCTCTTTCTCATTTTTCATATTCCCACAAGACTAAAGTTGAGTGTGGCACAAACCTGCATTGATATACAAATTCTTATCCTTTTCTGCGTCGTATAAATCGAGATTTACTATTCCCACCTGGGCGTGGGAGTCACACCCCTCGGTGGGATCTACGGTTACAGTTGAAGAATGAACCAGTTTCACTGCCCTGTGGCTTTCTCTCTGGATCGAAACAATATGAAGAAGAAGAAGAAGAAGAAGAAGGGCTGTTGAATTATGCACCTTGTGGCAGTTCTCATTCGTACACCAGGACTTCCCTGTTCTTCCCAGTTCGCCGTCTGAGAGTTTTCTCCGAGGAGGAATCCGTGTGGTGCCTGGCAGAAGGAAATGCAGTCCCCGCCATTAAAGCTCGTATTGCGTCGTTATTTCACAGAAGAGGGTGCGTTTAAGTTTGGAAGAGCAGAACTCACCTGCTGTGGGCCCGCCCCCTCTGCGACACCTGTTCACACAAAGTCAATGTAACATATGAGAGAGAGAGAGAGAGAGAGAGTAGCGCCGACTGAGGTCTGACTTTTCAGGTCCATTTCCAGACTTACCGGAGTCCGGGCTCTAGATTTCTTCAGAGGATGATGGCCAGAGTCAAGGGCCCCCCCGCGAGCAGTAGAATGGCCAAGGGCAATCTCTTGCAAGCGGTTGGAGATGCTGCATGGGGCAACAAACAGACATGAAAAATCCTACGTGGAAATAAAGAAAACATCATATTATTTCGCATATGAGACAGGCTGCGAATTGAGACGTGGAAATACGAAAGGGATGGATTAGATAAATAACCTCAAGCGGTGCCTGTTGCAGGTCGCAAAGAAGGCTATAAAACCATACAGAATTCCTTTTATGGCATGAAACACCTGCAGGAAAGAAGGAAACCATGGCGATCATACTTTCTGAGGCGAAAAAGATCAGAGAGAAGTCAACCCACGAATCACAGACCTTCAAGCATAGGGATCGCCAGAGGGGAATCTCGAAGGACCTCACGGTGACTTCAGACCTGGGCATAATCTGGAATACAGGGGCCACCATTGACCAAACCCCTCCCATCATACCACAGGCAGAGGAGTAAAGCATCACCATGAGATTCACACAGGCAAAGATGAGGCGAGCAGGGGCGATTAGCACTCCCCAGAGGATCCACACGATGGGGTATATGACCGAGGTTGCTGCACAGACAGATCAGATTGTGGGAAAAAATCCCATGGTGATCAGTTGAAGTAGAAGTGGATATAGGAAGTGTTGTTGTTTAAATCCAAGTTTTTGTAAATTTCCTTTGAATTCTTACATTAAAAATTATACTTTAACAAGATAGTGGGAGAATTTCTTGGGTCAAAAAATGAAAATGAATGTCGAATTGCAGCAGGGGGGAGAGAGAGAGAGAGAGAGAGTCTGAGGATTAGAGGCATACCGAGGCTCCATGTGAGAGAAAGGACAAGCCAGAAGGGCCAGAGTAGGAGATTCACTACGGTCATGACCATGCTGCAGGTGGATCCGATCACATTCCAAGTGACAGAAGTCAGAAACCCAGTCATCTCTAGGTAGAGCACCCGGAATGGGGCGAGGAGGTCCATCAGCTCCATTAGCGGGCCAGCCAAAGGCTTCGACAAGACTGAGAAGATTGATCTGATGGCACGGCTGGTCACCACAAACCAGCCAACGGCAATTTCGAAGTTGTGAAGGAAAAGCATCGTTCCAAGGTATCTAATCCTGGAGATCATCTCCCAGCTCTCTATCCAGTTGAAGAAGGGCCCGCATAAGCGAGATGCTGTTGCCTTGAGAACAGGGATATTTTTGTACAAGTCATAGAATCCTATGAGCACAGTCGCTGCGGAAATGAATATGTATAGGATTCTTGCGAGAGGGCACATCCATGGGCGATAAATGTTGCAAAATACAGGATATGATTGGAGAAAAATAACCCAAGATGGAAGCCCATATTCCAGTAAGGTGAGTAGTCGCCGGTCGGCCATGATAATTTCCTTCAGCTTGAATGGGAGATCGTGATCGTTAAATCTGAATAAGATCAGCACGTCTTGGTAATTAGTTGCCTCGGGAACTGTGGAAGCACTTTCACTGTCACTGCTAAAGTGCGAAGTGGATGCTGGGGATTGTCTTGGCGAGCTGATAGTCTCACTGGCTGCTTTATCTGAGACCTCATCCCCGTCGTTGATGATGAACGTGGATCCTGTAAGTTTTCTTCTCTTGAAAGAACCAGAAATGGGAGGCGTATACAGTAAAGTTTCAGAAGAGTCTGAACTTGAACTGCTAGCATCATCACGTGGAGATCTATTCTCAGCCAAATCATCATCATCACTACTGGGTATGCAGTCCCTTCTCAGGCCAATAGCCGAAGTGTTCTCATGAGCATCAAAAAATATGTCTCCTGGTTCTCCTGGACAGCAACATACGTTATTTTGCATGCAGCCGAATCTCGATCAACATAATGAAGAGAGAAGAAATTAAGAACCTGTCTTTGATCCATCGTTGAGAAAGTTTAGTAAAAGTGATCGCTCATAGCGCGTCCCTGCAAACCAAGAGGAAATGGAGCTTGAAGCCTGCTGAACGCTATCAAATTCCCACCTCTTCATTATCTTCGCCTCCACTGCCATTGATGTGTCTGTCTGCAGATGATAGATACACAGGGAATTTAAAACCCTTCTGACTTTCAAACAGAAAATCAATAAAAACTGGTGATACATGCCAGAGAAGAGAGAATACCAGAAGTTCATTTACATAGTTGATACCCCGTACATCACTCCATGAGATTTCAAAAATTATAAACCCATAAAAGGTGTCGTGCAAATCACTATTTCGCACAAATGAATCTTTCAGCTTTTCAATGGGGAGAAATGCTCTCTTCTGGTTCAATGCAGCACCAATCAATGAAAACCATCTGTGCAGCATTTTGTTGTTCTCTTTGTCGGATTTAGTCCCATTTTTTGAGTCAAGCCTTTTTGGAAAACTCTTTTTCTGTCTTTGAACCTTACGGTTTGCAAAAGGGGAGAGCCTTGACTGCAAAGAACAGAAATCTGTTTCTGAACATATGATTAAAATTACAGAAACTGCAACCAAGGACAGCGTCTATGTCTAACCTTGGTAACCATGAGTTGCCACAGGTGCGTAGGTCGCATGTCCCAATCAGTCAAACATAGTCGATAATCAACAAGAATAAAGAACTTTTTACTTCTGGGCGCCAAAAAAATTGTACGACAAGAAAGATAAGACTGCAGATCCCTGCAAAATGTAATTAATAAATTAAGAAACAGCTTATTTTCAAAATTAAGTTTCGTTATGAACTCTAATACCATACTAATAAATTTCTGAGTACTTCAAATAAATAGCCCAGACAACATAAGATGTCCTTGAATTTAATCATACAAATGGAGACAAGCATTCAGCTTGGAATAAGTAAAATGAACTGTTATGCAACTACTGGAGACACCTTACTAGCTTTTAAGAGGCCATAATTTTAGGCAACCTAGCTTCAGTCTGGCACATATCCTAGTTTCAAACGCATGCTGTCCTGTGCAGACCTTTATTATTAACCTAGTAACTAGTAAAGTCAAAAGGTAGGCATATTATCTATCACAGATATACACAGGGGACTGAAGGGCAAAAGAAACGAGAGGTTGCAAGAAAAAGGTAGCATTGCCCTGACATGCCAGAAACAAATGTATAACGAATAGGGGATGAGAAAATTTGACCCAGAAGCCCCTAATAACAAAAACTATACCAATCAGCCATGAAATTCCACCCCACTGATAATCAAAACTAACTGCATAATGGGTAATCTGCACCCAGAATTCCATCATCATCTGTTTCAGACCTTATTTCCCATGTTCCATAGATTCTCATCTCAATCGAGGCCAGCAAATCCCTCCATCTCATTGGCTACGAACATGTGATATTGATCCTTCTTAGTCCCATGGGTGCTGGTGACGTCTATTAAATATGTCTAAGGTTCTTTTATTCTCTTGGACATCTGCTCAAGCATGAACAAAACAGACATCCTAGAAAATACACCAGCAATGAGGGAAAATGAGGGACATGGTTATATGGGTTACGACTTTATCCCAAAGCGCTGCCGTATCAGTTGTATGCTTGAGACACCATTTTTAACCATTCTTGAGTAGCTTCAAGACATGAGAACGACCTGAAAGCAAGGGTCTTACTCAATATTGATTTATCTCAGTTCAATGCCAGGAAATATCCCTCCGTACTATAGATCTCCAGTCATTTATTCTCCAGGCTAACTGAAAAATGGATGGCTGGAGCATGAGCACAGCCTGCTACCCTAGGAAAGTGAGATTTCTCGTCCCTTCCAGTTCGGATCAACCATATATTCACTATGTTACTGGATATAATTCTCCCTCTAATAGGGCTCACAGAAGCCATCACTATGCCCACACAATATTCAAAAGGACTGGATCTACTTCCCCTGTTTCCTGCTAGGTTAGATGAATACATAATCTAATCAAATGTATAATCCATCCAGCAATTACTCGCAACTCGCAGGGCTTTTTTGACAGACTATAAGCTTTCTTTCCTGCGAATACATGCAATTATGGTTTCCACCTAATTTAGACCCGAAAGAGCACCCTAGACGTCGAAACTTGGAGAATGAACAGATATACAGACTATTTTGATGAAAACACCAACTGGAGGATGAATGGACGAGAAGGGAAATGTGCACGTCTGTACTAACCCAATCTGCAAGCTCGTGAGGGGGTAGAAGCAGCGTCTTTCCCCGGTTTCCATGGCTGCTTCTCCCCTAACAGCGACTTAACGAGATTGTGAACGTCACCATCTCTGGAAAGGTGAACGAGAAAAATAAGCAGAGTGAATGATTCCAACTGAGGGGAACAGTTTCCTTAGTTCAAAAACAAAATTCTAATACGCGAGGGAAGAGGTCACCACAGAGGTTAAAGCAGAAGCCAAGAAATAGAAGCCGGATGTCGGAGAAGAGAGGAGGAAAGACCTGCTGAAACATTAACGGAATCCCATGGTAGACTGTAGCCCTTCACGCAGATGGGAATCCGTTGTCGGGAAATTCTCCCATGGAGCGATTTCGAAAGGGCAGTTTGGCCCGAGGATAATAGTCCAATTTCACAATCACCAACGCATTTAATTATGCAGGATTGCATTAAATATCACATCAATATTTCTCCCTCGTTCCTCGCCGCGTGCTCAGACTTTACGCCGCTACTCTGACCCTCTAGAGTCTACACGTTAGCAAATGACGATACGGCGAGGGGTGGAGGGGAAGAGAGGAATTGAATTATGACCAGATTTCCACCTCTACTTTCCATTTACTCAACCTCATTTTCTTTGCTACGCGTGCCACGGCAACCGATCCGCTCCCCTTTCCTCTCTTCCGCTCTCCATATCCTCACTTCACGTCGCTGGTTCCTCGTCTTTCCTCAAGAATGGCATCCTCCACCATATGTTACTCTACGTCGAGGAGATAGGTGGGAATGCAGATCCCCAATGGGTAGACGCCTCCGTGGCCAATCCCCGTATTCCGCGCTGACGAGGACTCTGCTTCTCCCGGTAGTGGAGATGGGATCTATTGCTAGTAGCGTCGCCGCAGCTGCAGGAAGAAGTCGGGGAAGTAATCAAGAGGAATTGAGAATGGCCGAGGGGGAGGGCCCCGTGGACTCCTCCCCTAAGTGCACCGCCCTGCCATGGCCGCGCCGTCAAGAACTGAGCTTCATCTGCTCCTGGCGATGGGATCCGTTACTGATCAACACGCAGAGGATTCAGGGAGACGCAGGGGAGAGGAAGGGAGGGAGGGAAGGAGGAAGTGGATCTGGGGGATCCTCGATCTCCGGAAGGCCAGCGGGAAGGAGGGAGAAGGCGGTTAAGCACGCCTGGAGAGAGGAGGGAAGACTTCTACCTGTCTGCCTCCTCCAGATTCCGTTTCCCACCTCCTCCTCAGAAACACTTTTATATTAATACTCATAAATATTATATTTCTCTTTATACCATCAAATTAATTTCTCTCCTACCTTGGCTCCATGTGATTTTACCCGACTTGTACGCAGCATCACCCGTAGCATCTGTGCGTCTCTTATTGGGCGTTGACGGGTGGCAAGTCTTTCGGAGCGCATGTGCTACGTGCAACTAGCTTTGTAAGTATCTGGATAAAATGAATCGCTGCAGCGGGCTCGATGAGGTTTGGGGCCCAGAAGCGTAGGAATCAATGCATTCAGTCACAGTAACGTATCCAATCTAACGCTGGGGAAGAGACAAGAAAAGGACTAGTGTAGCGAGCTCGGCCATCGCCACTGGCATTATTCTTTAAGAAACTGGTCAATTAGGGCATCATTCTTGATCTGAATGGGGCCCATCAGTACTAAAAATCATGATGGTTGTTGACCCATCTTGGCCCAATAACCTTTCAATCATGATCCCCATACAGCCTGTTCAGCTAAGAGAGATTTCTAAGTTGTTGAAAGCTCTAGGAACAATCTGGACAAGATTTTCGCAATCCATTTCTTCTAGACAAACATTTTCATTGAGCATTTAAATACCTATAAAGGAATATTTAGCCAATAACTTATGCTGGAATTGATTTTCAAGGTTATTTGGTGGGTTTTCAAGGGCAGGGGGTTGGCTAGAGAAATGGATCTATTGGGAGGGTGAATCTGTTGTGAAGGATTTGTTGTAAAGGTGAAGTCTGGGAAGTTGTTGCTATAATTAGAATTAAATCACTATAATCTCGAGACTCACGAGATGAAACCAACATTTAACGTGTTATGTATGAGTTATATTTTACTCACAAAGAGATCCATTTTAAAGATCAGAATCCTTCTTGTAGTTATTGGGCTGAACCAACAACCACTCATGTGGAAATCTTAACCCCCCCCAATCTCTCTCTCTCTTCTCTCTCTCTCTCTCTCTCTCTCTCTCTCTCTCTCTCTCTCTCACACACACACACACACACACACACACATTACTCTTTAGAGGCATTCTTATTTTATAAAGATGTTGCTAATATTTTGTACTAACCATTGATAAAGTCTCAAGAAGCTAGGTACTAGAAAGTTGTCAACTTAAAATGTCACAACACAATGGAAGAAATTAAGTTCCCTTGTAAGAGAAGTGTTCAATTCGAAAATAGACTTAAGGAAAAAGTTGTAGAATAAGGGTGAACAAACTATTCGGTGCCTAAAAAGAGGTGAGAAATCTAAGAGAAAGAAAGAGAGTAATGGCAACACTCATTCAAGGTCCACTCGACATCATTTTTCATCTTCACACTAACTTCTACTATGAATTTATTATTGTATCAAAAGTTGTAGGCTCAATTTCTAGACTCAAGGACAATTCAAATTAGTGCCATAAGCTTTTGTTTTGGTTTATTCTTCATATTATAAGCACACTTCTACTTGTAATAAGTGTTATAAGAAGATAGGCTTTTGTAAATTTTGTGGCTAGACTAGCCCCAAGATTACATAGAGGTTAAATCATAGTCAAGTTATGAGCAAAAGAGGGTGTTGACTTCATATTTATATCAATGATATTTTCTCACTAGTGACAAAGGTATTTGTTTTTAATTTAGGGCCTTGTGAGTATTCTAGGACAAATTAAAGTTTTAAATATTGAAGTGTATGATTGGTATCATCAAGATGATGAAGAGTTATGAGGAAAAGAGGGGGTTGACTTCATATTTATATCAATAATATTTTCTCACTGTGAGAAAGGCATTTGTTTTTTATTTAGGGCCTTGTGAGTATTCTTAGGACAAACTAAAGTTGTAAATATTGAAGTGCATGCTTGGTATCATCAAGATGACCAAGAGTTATGAATATAGGGATAGAGGCAACTGTAACATTAAATCTATGATGTTTTCATGAAGACAAATAAGTATAATATCAGTTATAAAATTAAATTATCAATTTAAATATTTTTATAAAAACTATTAGTATTTACATGAAAAACCGTGATTACATAACAAGTACTTGAGGCATGTGAATCAATAAAATTCCATAAAGTAAAATATAAGTGTGGAAGCTCACTTAGTCTATTGTACCCATATATTTATATCACTATGTCTAAATGAAATTAACATCGATTTAATTGATTGAAGTCATATAGTTTATTATCCACATAAATTCATCACATAATAAATATTAAAAAGAAGTTTCATTTGTGATGAACCACTGAAGATATGATTTTACATATTGAGAGATTGATTCAAGATGTTGTCAATATGGTCATATTTTATTTGATGTGATTTGGATTAGTTTCTAACTGTTAAATCTATCATTTAATACAATATGAATTATATGTTCTATATTCTCGCTATTAAATCTTCATCACAATGACTTGAACCAATACAATGCAGATATGAATTTTAAATCTAAATAAGATTACTTATTAGTTTCACGCAAGGATATCCAAGTCATATAACAGATTTATCATATTGGTCACTTAGGTATTCAAATTTATGTTTATTCTAACGAAAATAGATGTTGAAATATTGATAAATTTTGAGAAGATTTTTTGTATGTGATTTACCTATAAATACCACAGATTTAGAACAATGAGAATAACATAGAATGATTATCCTTATCTTAACTATGACCTCAAGCTTCAAGTAAAGTTCTTCCAAAGAAAACAAGTGAGAAACCAAGAGGTCTCTACTATTTGGTAAAAATATAACAATTTACTAAGTCAATGAATATTTATTGACTATTTAATGATCATCTTCAACTGGTTTCAAACTCCAACACCTTCCATCATCTATCAAGTTCTTTACTAGAAGAGGATAACAAAAAATAAGCTTTCAACTTCATCTTCTTTATTAGAATTCAGATAGGCTATCAGTCTATACCATCTTCTAAAAATTTACTAATAGTAACACATTTTCATATTTCTTAGATGATAAAATCATAATTTAAATTTAATTTAATCATCCAAGGGATTTTAATTCACCTAATAAGTCTTCATTATCATGAGCTAATAATTAATAAATAATATAGTTTTAACCTTAAATTATAATAAATAGACTTATATTTATGTTAAATTGTGAAAAGTAGGTTAACGTGATTTTTTGGTTAATTATGTGATTTTATGTAAATTTATATAATTTTTATAATCATACTTTTGAGATAAATAAAGAAAAATAAAATAAAATAAAAAGATACAAAAAGGGAGAGAACTCGTTGGCCAACCAGGCTCGCAAGTGGGTCGGAAGCATAGTTAGGCAGAGTTACAAGTAGGGGCTCAAGCAAATAAGGATGGACCGATAGGGGGCACATGTGCGTCACTCCCCTTCCACGTCACCGGTGGCTAGCACATAGCTATGAATGGGGCAAGGAGTGGTCTTACACATAAGAAAATGACTCATTGATTCCCAAATCTGGTATTACTATATATTCATCTCAAAATTTGACCTATAATCGATGTGGGACTAAATCCCGGTCACACTTTCTCCAGAATGATTTTATGATTTTTTGTATCTCAAATATCCTTTATTTATCAGAAGAAGGTAACATGATGATGTCACTTTATAAGAGTATTTGCATATTTATTTCACTCTCTCTCATATAGGCAAGTGATTAACGAGGGTTCAAATTATACTAAAGTCAAAACTCATATTTTTATCTGATTAAATCACACTTTTTCTGTAAATCACTAATGAATGATTAAACCGCCAAATCGCTCAATCATCTGAAAAAAATCTTGTTAATGTGATTCGTCGAGTATCATTACTAAAATTATTGAACGATTCATGATAAAAGGATCACGAATCTATCAAGTAAATTATCTTTGATTGATCGATGAACAAGCCATCATCAAGAGGAGGACAATCCACAAGGAGATGAGTCACCACCTCTTGAGAACGTATCAAATGCGATAAAGAATCTCCTCTTGCTGCATAGACTTGAAGATGAAGCTCTCTAAGATGTGCCTCACCTCTATCCAACTCATCTCTGTCAAGTGACAGCTGCTAGAGAATCATAAAGTCATCATTTTTCCGCTCTACTAGGGGATAACTGTCGAAGACAATTTGATGACCCATTTTATTAATCTCTAGACTTCGCAAGAAGATCTAAAGATTGTCCACATTGTCCATATTTAAAGAGAGTCTTTGAAGCCATGGACACTATACGACAATTCTCTCAAACACTCAAAATTCCAATGCATCATCGATGTATCATTGCCGCGACGTCAAAACTTTATTTTATTTTATATCTTTAATTAATTTAACTTCCACCATTAGTTTTTGAACTTCAAAAGGAGATCCAAGGAATGTCTAGGTCATCTATGTCCAAGGAGAACTTTTGAGGTCATAGACATCGTTCGATGATCCTTCCGAACACACAAAATTCTAGCGATCACTATTGCGAGGCCAAAACTCTGCCTTTCTTACTTTCAACTTAATTTTCACTTTATTAGTGACAATTTATGTGATATCAAGTCTCTAAATTATTCTTCATTCAATTACGATTCTTTTGACTTTTACACATCTTAATTTGATTAATTAAATCATCTGTAATCGCTTACATAAGAATCGTCGGATAGAACTCTATTTTCACTCAATTCACATTAATTGGGTATCGACATTGTCTTGACATCCACACCCTTATTCCCTTTTTTATGAATTTTAAATATATTTTATTTTTATTTCTTAGTCTAAAATTTATAAAAAATCATATCTTTTGTGATTTTTTAAAAATAATATTATATCTTTGTGATCGACTTAAATTTTTTCACTAGTTTAGACATATTTATTGAATTATAATTAATATATTTGTTTAGAAATACTTCTAAATATCTAAAAAGTGATATTTTCTAATTTTATAAATTTTAAATTTTTGTGATTTATTATACAACGACTAAGTCACATCAGCACCTTAGAGACATGAATCTAGAAAGAATTTCTAAGAGAAATTTTAAGGAAGTTAATCTTAATAATTAGTAATATGATTAGATGATCAACCTTAGTGAAACACTAGAATAAGATTTATTCTTAGGGAATGAATATAGAAAATATATATTATTACAAGTTAATGTATTAGCTGAATCTGTAAAGATCAAGATCCACATTTAAGAAAGCTTTGAATTTCTATTGCAAGCTTTATATTTTACTATTTACTAATTATAAATGAAGCTTAATGATATTATATTATTAACTATGAGTACAAGGCAAACTTAAATAAATACCAATCTATGATTCTAGAACCATGTTTGATACACTCAATTCAACCTAGAGCCATGATTCTAAACACATGTATTAAGTGCACTCAAAGTAACCTAGTGTCATGAATATAGATGCATAGGTAACCTAGTGCCCTCAAAAGTAAAGAGAAGATACGATGTGTCAAACTACTATACTACTAGTTCCTTTATCTTATTAGGGAGGCTATGCATAGAATGTGTCACTTTAGCTGGCTAGACAAATATTGAAACTGAGGAACTCATAGGCAATCCAAGAGATTGATTCATCCCTCCACCTTGTCCCTTTGTTGCCCACTTAAGAGCACTCTTCAAGCACATGTTTAGTGATCTAGCTTTCAATACATCTGTCATTGGGCTTCAGGTTTGGGTAGGGACACTAATGTAGTTTCAACACATTTACCATTAAAACTCTTTGAATTTCTAATGTAGTTAATAAAAATACTTTCAAAATTATATAAAAACTATTTAAGTATATGAATGAAAAATGCATTTTCTTCTCCCTTAATATCTATATAAAAAATGTAGTAAATCAATAACAAATGTGTTATTCTACTCCTTTCCATCTTTCTATTTTACAAACATTTGTAAAGAGAAGAAACCAATAACTAGGTTTTGGTGTAAAAACTTAATAAGAGAGAGAGAGAGAGAGAGAGAGAGAGAGAGAGAGAGAGAGAGAGAGAGAGAGAGAAGATTTACATACTTAAAAATTAATTTTTGAAATTTTTATATTAAAATAGAAAATAACATAATAAAATAGTTAAAAATGATTGGTAAACATAGATTTTTTTAAAAGAAAATTGAAAGTCAAGAAAACTATAACTTGTCCACTAGGGGCCAAAACAAATCCTTGAGAAAAGTAGGATTAGGATTTGCATAAGTTAAATTTTCACTGTTACAATGAATCTAATACCAAACATCCAAATGAGTTTCTAGAATTAAAAAGATCAAATATATTTGTATGAAGTCTAGAATTACCCTATTTTGGTTTGACATGACTTAAACCAATATGGGTTACAAAGTTTAAGATGAGTGTTGTTAGTAGACATTGTAGTAGAGAAATTGTTATTTAAATAGTGGTTATTCAAGGCATAACCAAAAATGAGAAGTTGTTCATTAATCTCAAAAAGAAAGAAGGTGGAGACAACTAGGCAATAAAAAAGGTTACTTTGAGCGTAAAAGAGACCAAGTTGTAAGATTTCAAAAGGTGAAACTAGGTAATATCTACTACTTTCAAAAGAGACAATGGACATAGTATTAGTTTCCTGGACCAAAATTGTAAAAAAAAATATTTTGTTTCTAAGTCTTCTAATCTTGGTCTATCCATTAAAGAGTGATAAGTCTTCATTATCATGAGTTAATAATTAGTAAATAATATAGTTTTAGCCTTAACTCATGATAAATAGACTTATATTTGTGTTAAAGTGTGAAAAGTGGTTTTCAGTTGATTAATGTGGATTTTTAGGTAATTATGTGATTTTATATGAATTTATATGATTTTTACAGTCTTACTTTTGAGATAAATGAAGAAAAATAAATAAAAAATAAAAATAAGACAAAATGAGGGGGACCCGCTGGCCAGCCGGGCCCGCAAGTGGGTCGGAAGCTCAGTCGGGGAGTAGCCACAAGCAAGGGCTCGAGCGGCTTGGACCGATAGGGGCATGTGTGCGCCACTCCCCTTCCACATCACCGGTGGCCAGCCGGCTGTGGGGCAAGGAGTGGTCGTACACGCAAGAGAAAGAACTTTGCTTAGAAATGTAACATTACTATATATTCGCCCGAAAAATCAACACACAACCGATGTGAGACTAAACTCGCGTCACACCTTCCTCAGAAGGGGCGGACAACCAGCGCGGGTTCGAATCCTCCTAGAGTCAAAAGTCATATATTTTTATCTGATTATCGCGACTTTCCTGTAGATCGTTGGTGAAGGATTAAGCAACGAGAATCGCTAGATCATCGGCGAAAATCTCGTCAACACGATTTGCGGAGCATTGCTACTAAAATTGCTGAATGATTTACGATAAAAGGATCGCGAATCCATCAAGTAAATCATCTCCGATTGATCGACGAACAAGCCGTCATCGAGAAAAGGACGATCCGCCGGGAGACGAGTCGCCACCTCCTGAGAGCGTACCAGATACGATGAAGAGCCTCCTCTTGCTGTGCAGACCTGAGGATGAAGCTCCCTGACACATGCCCCACCTCCATCTAGCTCCTCTCCGTCGGATGACGGCCGCCGGAGAGCCGCAAAGTCGTCGTTTTTCTATTCTGCTGGGTGACAGCCACCAGAGACGACTCGGCGACCCATTTCATTAATTTCTAGACTTCGCGAGAAGATCTAGAGATTGCCCACGTCGTCTTTGTCCAAGGAGAGCCTTCGAGGCCATGGACACTGCACGACGATCCTCTCGAACGCTCAGGATTCTGGTGCATTGCCGACGCATCATCGTCGCGATGCCAGAACTCTGTTTTCCTGCTTTCAAACTTATTTTACGCTTCATTTAGTGATTAATTTTTGTGTTTTTAATTTACCAAAATATACTTTGTTTAATTACAATTCTTTCGGCTTTTATAGATCTTAATTTGATTAATTAAATCATCTGTAATCGCTTATGAAAGAATCGTCAGGCGGAACTCTATTTCCGCCCGATTCGTGTTCGCCAGGCGCTGATGTCATCCTGACGTCTGCACCCTTATTTCCCTTTTAAATATATTTCCTTTTCATTTCCTAGTATAAAATTCATAGAAAATGGTATTCATTGAGAAAAATTCTGAATAATTACCAGATATTATATTACATCCTTGTGATTGACTTGGAAAATTACCGCTATTTTTGGAAATTTTATTAAATTATAATTGATATATTTATTCAGAAATACTTCTAAATATCCAAAAATTCGTATTTTCTAGTTTTATAAATTTTATATTTGCGTGATTTAATATACAACAACTAAGTCACATTAAAGAGTCTCAAACCATCATACAATTTCAATGATGTATTTAGGTACTAAACCTAAAATCTAATAGGAATTTACAAAGAATCAATCTAACCCCCATCCCCCACCCCCCTCCTCTCATTACCATCTTCTTGATTCTCTTTGTTATCCTCTCTAAATCAACATAGCCACAACTAGATAATGTTTTAGTTTCTTTGAAAATAAATAAATTAGTAAAAGACCACAATAACTAATATAATTAATTGATAAGAAGAAGAGAAAATCTTAGAATTGATGTATTGAAAAAGAGGAGTGCATGAGGTTACACAGAAGAAAGGAAGAAAGAGATAGAGAGAGGAAGAATAAGGACGTGAAGAGGATAAGTTTAAAATAGGCTTGGTGGGCCTAGTGGGCCTATTCTAACACTCCCCTTCAAACTAGAACATACAAGTCAAATATGTCTAGGTTGATGCACATCGTATCACAAGGGATCTCTGCAAGACTCTTAGTGAAGACATACACAAGCTGATGAGATGAGACAACATGTGGAGTAGAGATAACATCTAAGATTACCTTATCTTAGATGTAATGACAGTTGATTTCGATCTACTTCTGCTCATGAAATGTAAAATTTCTAGTAATGAAGATGGCATCTTGATTATCATAGTGCAGAAGTATTGACATAAGAGATGAGATGCCAAGGTCTTTGAAGAGTGAACTAAACCACACCATCTCTCATGCCGTCTCAACTATGATGCGATACTCAGATTTAGTACGAGAGCAAGATACCACCTTCTATTTCCTAGAACGTCACGTGACAAGGTTACCACCCACATGTACAATAATCAATGGTGGACTTGCAATCTTCTTTGTCACTAGCATATCCTGTATTCGAGTAGGTTTCAATCCGAAGATGTCAATGTCTTCAATAAATACGTCCTTTCTTAAGAGCTCTTTTGATATATGTGAGAACCCGTAAAGCTCCTTCTTAGTGAACCTGTCAAGGTTCCTATATGAACTAGTTAAGGACACTAACTATGTACACGATGTCGGGGTGAGTGATAGTGAGGTAGATCAGTTCCAACAACTATCTATGTCAATTAACATCCTCGAGGAGCAGAGACAATATATCTTAGAAGCGCAAATGTGCCTCCATAAGTGATGACTCCAACTTGCACCCAAGTAGCTCAGTCTCCTAAAGCATATAAAGAGTATACTTTTATTGCGAGAGAGTGAGTTTGTTATCTTGATAGGCAAACTCAATCCCAAAGAAGTATCATGGACCTCCCAAATCTCGTATACTAAACTACTACTGCATGTATGATTTGGTAGCTTAAATATCTACTTCATTACTTCTGGTCACAAGAATGTCATCCATATAAACATCTAGGATGATTTAGTAGTATTTATAAATACTATGGGATCTGCAAGACATGGTGAGAATCTAAATTACACCAAAAGACCACTAAACTTGGTGAATTAGGCATGTGGACTTTACTTTAGTCCATAAATAGCACGTTGCAAAAGACACACCTTCGATGACTTCTCTTGAACAACATACTCAAGAGGTTGCTCTATAAACACCTACTCCTCAAGATCACCATAGATAATGGCATTAAAAAAATATCCAATTGATGTAAAGATCATGCCTGATTCACAGTCAAAGAGAGTATCACTCGAATGGAGTTGAGTTGAACTATTGAAAAGAACGTCTTGGTGTAGTCAATGTCATAGGCTTACCTAAATCCACAAGCAACTAGACAAGCCTTGTGACATGTAATAAATTCATCTAGATTATACTTGAGTGTGAAAACTCACTTACATGTGACGATGTTGACATTATGTAGATGAAATACAAGTGTCTAAGTTCCTCAAGATATCAAGACATTCACTTCTAAGTCTATGGCCGTCTTCCATTCAAGTACACGCGCAACCTCAACATATGACTATGAAATCGACTTAGAGGCCACGGAAAGAGTAAAGGTAAGAAAAAAAAGAGAAAGGTGGTCGTAGAAAATAAAGTGGGCAATAGGGTATCTAGTGCATGTACGCATACCTTTGTGGAGAATAATAGGAAGATAAAGGTCATTGATAAGTCTTTATTATCATGAGTTAATAATTCATAAATCATATAGTTTTAGCCTTAACTCATGATAAATAGACTTATATTTATGTTAAAGCGTGAAAAGTGGTTTCCAATTAATTAACGTAAATGTTTGGCTAATTATGTGATTTTCTATGAATTGATATGATTTTTATAGTCTTATTTTTGAGATAAATAAAGAAAAAGAAATTAAAATAAAAATATAACAAAATGGGGAGGACCCGCCAACCAATTGGGCCCACAAGCAAGTCGAAAGCACAGTCAAGGAGGAGCCACGAGCAGGGGCTCGCTTGAGCAGTTAGGACCGATGGGGGCATGACGTGACTTAGTTGTTGTATAGTAAATCACACAAATTTAAAATTTATAAAACTAGACAATACGATCTTTTGGATATTTAAAAGTATTTCTGAATAAATATATCAATTATAATTCAATAAAACTTCCAAAAATAGTGATAATTTTCTAAGTTGATCATAGGGATGTAATATAATATTAGGTAATTATTCAGAATTTTCCTCAAAAAATACTATTTTCTATGAATTTTATACTACAAAATGAAAATAAAATATATTTAAAATTTACAAAAAAGGAAAATAAGGGTGCAGATGTCGGGATGATGTTAGCGCCCGACGAATGCAAATAAGGCAGAAATAGAGTTCTGCTCGACGATTTTTACGTAAGCGATTACAAACGATTTAATTAATCAAATTAAGATATGTGAAAGTAGAAAGAATTGTAATTGAATGAAGTATAACTTGGTAAATTTAAATCACATAAATTATCACTAAATGAAGTAGAAATTAAGTTGAAAGTAGGAAAAATGAGTTCCGACGTTGCGATAGTGATGCGTCGGCGATGCACCGGAATCTTAAGCGTTCAGGAGGATCATCGTGCAGTGTCTATGACCTCAAAGGCTCTCCTTGGACAAGGACGACGTGGGCAATCTCTAAATCTCCTTGCGAAGTCTAGAGATCAATGAAATGGGTTGTCGAATCGTCTCCGGTAGTTGTCACCTGATAGAGCAAAAAAACGGCGACTTTGTAGCTCTCCAGCGGCTGTCACCCGACAGAGAGGAGCTAGATGGAGGTGAGGCACGTGTCAGGGAGCTTCATCCTCAAGTCCACATAGCAAGAGGAGGCTCTTCATCGTACCCGGTACACTCTTAGAAGGTGACGACTCGTCTCCCGGCAGATCGTCCTCTTCTCGACGACAGCTTGTTCATTGATCAATCGGAGATGATTTACTCGATGGATTTGCAATCCTTTTATTGTAAATCATTCAACAATTTTAGTAACAATGCTCTGCGAATCGCATTGACAAGATTTTCATCGATGATCTAGTAATTCTGGCGGCTTAATCCTTCATCGGCGATTAAGAAAGTCACGATAATCAGATAAAACTATGAGTTTTGGCTCTAGAAGGATTCGAATTCACGCCGGTTACCTATTTGCATGAGAGAGATTGAAATAAGTGCTCTAATGCCCTTATCAAATGATGTCATCATGGTATATCTCTATTATAAATAAGGGGTATTGTAGGTATTAAAAGCATCAAAATCTTTCGGGGGAAGGTGTGATGCAAGTTTAGTCCCACATCACTTGTGCGCCGAAGTTTTAGGTGAATATATAATAATATTGTATTTCCAAGCAAGTCCCTTTCTCCTGCGTGTACAACCACTTCTTACCCCATAGCTGGCTGGCCACTAGTGATGTGGAAGGGGAGTAGCGCACACGTACCTCCATCAGTTTTAGCCACTCGAGCCCGTGCTTGCGGCTCCTCCTAGACTGCGCTTTTGACCCGTTTGCAAGCCCGGCTGGTCAGCGGGTCCTCCCCATTTTGCTAAATTTTTATTTTTATTTCTTTTTCTTTATTTATCTCAAAAATAAGACTATAAAAATCATATAAATTCATATAAAATCACATAATTAGCCAACATGTTAATCAACTAAAAACTATTTTTCACATTTTAACACAAATATAAGTCTATTTATCATGAGTTAAGGCTAAAACTATATTATTTATTAATTATTAACTCATGATAATGAAGACTTATCAGGGCATGTGTGCGTCACTCCCCTTCCACGTCACCCATGGCCAGTCGACTATGGGAAAGGAGTGGTCGTACACAGGAGAAAAGAGGACTCATTGCTTACAA